TGAAGGAAGGGCAGGAACATCCCCTGAACCCCTCCAGCGGCAGGGGGTTGAGCACCGCAGTCGCAAAGCCGGTCGCGGCGGCGGAGCGCCAGAGAGCCTCTCGCTGAAGGGGCGCCCAGCTGCGGGCCGCTCCGCCGCGGGGCCTGGGCGGGCGCGCTCTGGGCGGGCGGGCCGCCTCGGGGCCGAGGAGGGGGAGGAGGAGCGCCGCTGCGGCCGCCGGCGAGAGGGGCGCGAGGGACGGCTCTGTGGCGCAGTCGGCGAGGGTGGACGGAGCCAAGCTCCCGGCGCGGACGGCGCGGCAGACGGCGGCGGCTACGGCGCGCGCGTGGCGAGGCTCGGTGGAGAGGCGCAGGAGGAGCAGGACGTCCCACCTGGGCGGGCGCGAGGCGCGGCACGAGGCTCAGCGACCAAGACGAGGCGGCGGCGGCGGCGGCGGCGGCGGCGGCGGCGGCGGCGGCGGCGGCGGCGGCGGCGGCGGCGGCGGCGGAGGTGGCGGCGATGGCAGCGGCAGTGGCAGAGGTGGTGAGGTACGGCTGTGGCGGAGGCTGCAGCCGGGCCTTCGCGCACACCGTGAGAGGGGCGGCGAGGAGGCGCAGAGGCGCAGGAGCGACGAGACGGCGGGCGTGGAGACTCGCAGAGCGTGGCCAACCACCTGGAGGGTGTGGGGGAGGGGCGGGTGGCAGGGCAGGGGCAGGGTGTAGTGCAGGAGCAGGGGCGCATGCGAAAGGGCCAGGGAGAGGGCTGGGTGCGTTGCCGCCTCGAGGAGCAGGCCGACCGTCTGGCTCGACACGGGGCCGAGGGCGGAGCGGAGCGCGCGCAGCACCCGCCCGGCCGACCGCGCGGACAGGCAGCCGACGAGCGTGCGGACCAGAGTGGGCAGGTCCGACTCATCGGCGAGGGGCAGCGCCGCCGCGGCGAGACGCGCCAACTCGTGTGCGTGCGACGCCGGCAACGAAGCCTCGGAGAGAGCGCCTGCCGATCTCGCGTGGCTCTCCTCAGAGCGCGCTCGGGCGGCACAGGGCCATGTAAGCGGTCGCACCGATCGCAGGCACGAGCAGCGAGCGGTCCGCCGCCATCACTGCGCGCGCCGCCTCCATCATCCCGTCCGCCTCAGCGTCAGAGCCGCCAACAAGGGTGGGCAGGTGGCCCAGCACCTCGCGACACGCCGGAGCGTCGAGCAGCGGCAGCACCGCAAAAATCTCCGTGCTTACCTCCAGGGACCGCTCGCCGTGCGCACTCAGCAGGGCGGCGATCGAGCGAGCGCCACGTGCCTCCTCACACGGGAGCCGGGCGAGCAGCGCACGCGTGGCGGCGGCCCGCGTGCACGGGTGCTGGAGCAGGCCGGGAGCACGACGAAGCGCCTCGTCGAGGGGACCTTCGAGTTCGTCCAAATCCATGGCGCCGAAAGCCTGGGGCAGCCGGGTACCAATACCGCGAAAAAAGGACATAAAGAAAAGGAAAAATTGCAGTTTACTACGTTTTGAGCTTTTCTCTTGCAGATTACTACACACCACACAATCCACCTTGCAGATTACTACACACACACAATCCGCCTTGCAGATTACTACACACCACACAATCCACCTTGCAGATTACTACACACCACACAATCCACCTTGCAGATTACTACACACCACACAAACCACCTTGCAGATTACTACGCACCACATAATCCACCTTGCAGATTACTACACACCACACATCCACCTCGCAGTTTACTCACCTGCAAATCCGAGGTAGCAGTTACTGGTTGAACGCTGAAACTTGATTCGGGCGTCATCCTACTGGGCTCAAGAAGGTCACCGGCTTCCCGTGCGAGTGCTTGGCGGCTGTGGCGGTGCAGAAAAAGGGTGTCCCCGACATTGCTCAGCTCGTCGACTCCGAATACACCACGGCCGTCTGGCAGGCGCAGTACAACTTCAACTTTGCCGCCACTCTCCCCGGCAGTGTGCCAGATGGACCGCCGAGCCGGCTCAAGCTGCCCGTCTTCCTTCCAACCAAGCCAGGCAGGCCCAAGCGGGGCCGCATCCTGTCTCCAGGCGAGGGGTCGGGCGCGAAGAGGAGGCGAACAGTGGCACCCTCTGGCGACGAGGATGCTTCTCAGACCGCCGCAGCCCTCACCGCAGCTGCCGGCGCCGACGACGCAGGGCCGATGGCGAACGCACCTGCCTTGCCAGCTCCACCTCGCGCGTCTCGGCAGTACGGTTGCCGCAGGTGCGGCGCCCCGGTCAGGAAGGGCTGCGGGTGCAAAAACCAACCTCGGATCATGCGATGAATGTGTGATGAGTAGTAATCTGCAAGGTGGATTGTGTGGTGTGTAGTAATCTGCAAGGTGGATTGTGTGGTGTGTAGTAATCTGCAAGGTGGATTGTGTGTGTGTAGTAATCTGCAAGGTGGATTGTGTGGTGCGTAGTAATCTGCAAGGTGGATTGTGTCTGTGTAGTAATCTGCAAGGTGGATTGTGTGGTGTGTAGTAATCTGCAAGAGAAAAGCTCAAAACGTAGTAAACTGCAATTTTTCCTAAAGAAAAACTTCGCGACTCACCGTGCCATGGCCGCGGGCAGGCTGCGGCACCAGCTCTTGACCTTCGCCGCGTGGCCGGGCTTGAGTCCAACGTGGCAAACAAAGCGCTCAAAGTCGCCGCCTCCCTCGACGGCGATCGCCCGGATGTGGTTCAAGTCATCATAGCCCTGCTCGTCAAACACCTCAGCGTAGTGGTCGAGGCGGACGCGCCTACAGCAGCTCGTGCAGAGGTGAAGTGCGCTGCAGCCGCGGAGCCGCCGCGCCCGCTCGGGCTCGCCGAAGCATCTCGCGCACGCCCGCCATGCTGCCGGGCTCGCGCAGAGCCTCTCGCACCGCCGCGTCGTCGTCCACCGGACCTGGCGGCCCAAGCGGCGTTGCAGCGCCGCCCGCGCCGCCCGCCGGGCCCGCCGATGCGCTTCCCTGGGGCGGGCGCTGCGGGGCGAGCGGCGGCGGCGGTGGCGTAGCCGCCGGCCCCGTGCAGGCGCCCGCCTCGAGCCTCTTGATCCCCTCCCAGATATCCGCCTCGGTCAGCGCCTCCTCGTCGTCATCGTCGTGAACGACATGGAACAAGCCCCCGTCCTCGGTCCACGCGACCACGCGCGCGCCGAAAGCGCGGTGCGCAGCCTTGTCGAACTCAAACACGCTGATCAGGAGGCGCCGCCCGATGAGATCGTGGCCCGATGAGCGCCAGCGGCGCAGCACAGAGTGCGAGGTACGCGTGACGAACTGCGGCACAACGCGCGCTTCAAAGTGTCCGTCGGCAAAGTACACATCCACGCAGCCGTCGGCGTGCACGCCACAGACCTGCCCGCGGAAGTAGTAGCCGCGGCCGGACGATTTCCCCTGCAGGAATCGCGGCGGTGGCTTGTCTGCGAGGTACTTGGCCCTCACAGCGTCGCCGACCTGGAGCGGCCGCGCCGTGCGCGCTGCAGCGAGCTTGCGCTTCCCCATATGTGTCCGCACGCCTGACTCAGAGATGAGCAACCGCGCGGGTAGGCCGGGGGGCCCGAAGCGGCGGGTCGCCCAGCGGGTGGCAAGCAAGGAAGAAAACCACCTCGCGAGTGCGCGCCACTCCCGTGCCCAGTGTTGTCCCGTGCCCAGTGTTGTCCCGGGATTTTTTCTTTTCTCACTCAGAAGAAATCTCGCACTCTCTCTCACTCACTCTCACACCAAGATAGATAGATAGAGAGTGAAGACAGTCTGACCAATGACGGTCACCATGTCCGCACACGCAAGCGTGCGGGTCCCTGTCCCCCATAAGCGGCCCGGCCAGCGCAGCTGGCTCTGACAATCAACGGATAACGGGACAATCATGTGGGCCTGCACAAATCAATAGAGCAACGCTCAGGCTGCCGACGCTGCCTTCATGGTGGTGACCAGCTTCGTGAGCGCCTCGGTCTGTTTCGTCGTCCCTGTGCCAATCTTGTCCTTCACAAAGAGGCAGAACTCAGTGTAGTCCATCTTAGTCATTTCCGTCTCCTCGCTGTCCCAGCTGTTCTCAAACACGTCGAGGATGTTGTATTCGTAGAGTGCGTCCTCCGCCGTGGCGGACACCTAGGGAGGGAAGGAGGGCAGGTAAGGGGGCGTGGCGACTGCCCCACACAAGCCGGTTTGTGGTTGGTTGCACCTTGGCCTCCTTGATTAGGACCTTGAGCTCCTCGACATCCAGCGAGCCAGACTTGTCTTTGTCGCACGCATCGAAGAGACTCTTCAGTGCGGTCATCTCCTTCATCTCGGGAGTGCAAAAGGCGGGAGCGGGCTCGACGAGGAGCGGGGTTTGCATGTTTGCATGTATATGCCTGTGCGCTGCCATGCACACGCACGTTGCCGCCGCTGGGGACGCACAGCTGGGGACGTGTTAAAGATGCCCTGCAGGCATATTCAAGATGCGTTGCGTTTTCCCTATTGAAAGTCGCGACAAATGTCCCTCGTCCAGCCTGCAGCATGGCGAGGCGCGAGAGCGCAACGCGGTCGCGGTGGCGCACCGAGAGGGGCCGCCTGGCCACCGCTGCCACGGCGCCGCACGGACTTCACCCACTTTCGCGACTGTGGCCATCCAACAGACTGCCGGCGCGGCGGGCGCATTCGAATGCGCCGGCCGCGCCGGCAGACTGCCAGTGCTTGCTATCCCGGGCGCACGTCAGCCGCGAGGACAGCGCTGCATCGCCGCCACAGCAACGCCTCCCCCGCGTGGCCGCCGCCAGCAATGCCGCCGCCAGCCGCCGCATCCAGCCGCCGCCGCCAGCTGCCGCCAGCACTGCAGCTCTCTGCTGCCCAGGCGCCGCCGCGGCCACGAGTGTCACCGCCACGTCCCACGAGTGCCACCGCCGTCAGCGTCGCCATGGCCACTGCCGCCGCCAGGGGGGCGAGAGAGGGGCTCCATATGTGTGTATGAGGTGTGTGTCTGGAGGCTGTCGCTTCCTGTACAGGAAACGCAGGTATTTCGAATAGCAAACGCGCTTATACTTGCAGGGCATCTTTAAGTGTCGAGGCGCGGGAAAAAATGTTTGAAGGATGCTTGAAAAATATTTTCTTGTTTTTTAGGCCGCGCCGTTTTTTTTTTGCTTTTCGAGCGCTCGGCGTAGGATCCTAGCTCACACGCCCCCACAGTCCACAGTCTCCGCGGTGGTCGCCCTCCTGGACAGTCACTCCGTGGGTGCTGTGCTGGGGTACCACAGCGGATGGCGGACGCCATCTTGCCCTCGCATAAGCCGTGCCGGCCGGTCACGGTCTTCTCGAAAGTGCACAAGATTGGCGAGGGGACGTACGGGGACGTGTACCTCGCGCGCGACCGCGAGAGCAGCCAGCTCGTCGCGCTCAAGCGCGTCAAGCTCTCCTCTTCGGGCTTTGACCGCGAGGGGATGCCGCTCACGTCGGTGCGCGAGGTGAGCCTGCTGCGGCGTCTCTCGCACCCCAACATTGTGACGCTGGCGGAGGTGGTGGTCGGCTCCAAGGCAGACTCGCTATTCCTCGTGTTTGAGTACTGCGAGTACGAGCTCGCCAAGCTGCTCGACTCGATGCCCACTCCCTTCTCCCTCCCAGAGGCCAAATGCCTCTCCGAGCAGCTGCTCTGCGCCGTGCAGCACCTGCACGGCTGCGGCGTGCTGCACCGCGACCTCAAGATGTCCAACCTGCTGCTCAACGCAAAGGGCGAGCGCGCTCTCTCCCTCTCGCCTCGTTCGCTCCCCCCTCCTCCCCCGTCGCTCCCTCCTCCCGCCTCTCTCTGCAGACGCCTTCCCCCTCGGCCCACGACGGCCCTCCCGCCTCTCCGCTTGCCGCTTCCCCTCCCCCGGCATGCCCGCCTCACCCCCTCTCCGCTTGCCGCTTCCCCTCCCCCGGCTTGCCCGCCTCACCCCCTCTCCGCTTGGCCTCTCTCCGATCCGGCAGGCGAGCTCAAGCTCTGCGACTTTGGGCTCGCGCGAGAGGCGCCGCCGTCAGGCGCCCTCACGCCTCGCGTCGTCACGCTCTGGTTCCCGCCGCACCGGCTGCCCTTGCACACCCGGCTGCCCCTCCACACCCGCCCCTCTCTCCACACCCCTGCTCGCACGGCCTCCAGGTACCGCGCGCCGGAGCTCCTCTTCGGCGCGCAGCACTACGGCGCGCCCGTCGACCTCTGGGCCGTCGGGTGCGTCGTCGGCGAGCTGCTGCTGCACCGGCCGCTCATGCCCGGCCCGACCCTTCACCTAACCCTAACCCTAACCCTAACCCTAACCCTAACCCTAGGCCGCTCATGCCCGGCCCGACCGAGCCGCAGCAGCTCAAGCTGATGGTCGAGCTGCTCGGCGCGCCGTCGGACCGCATCTGGCCCGGCATGAGCGCGCTGCCCCTCTTCCGCTCGCTCGGCCCCGCGCTGCCCGACCAGCCCTTCAACGAGCTCGCACACACATTCGCGCGGCTCCGGCCGACCGAGACGACGCTGCAGCTGCTCGACGGCCTGCTGACGTACGACCCGACGCAGCGGCTCGACGCCGCCGCCGCCGCAGGCCACGCCTGGTTCCGCGAGTCGCCGCGGCCAGTCTCTCCCGCGGCGCTCGCGGCGGCGCGGCTCCGAGGCGCGCCGGCTCGGCCCGGGCAGGCGGGCACGAAGCGGCGAGCAGGTCGCCTGGTAGGGGCGCGCCCGCCGGGCGAGCAGGACGCGCGGCGGACCGCGTGCGGGCAGCAGATGGAGGCGGAGGGGGGGGAGGGGGCGGAGGAGCTGGGGGCGCGGGCGGCGAGGCTGGAGGAGCTGGGGGAGCGCGCGAGGGCGCGCAAGGCTGCCAGGGAGGATGGCGGCGGTGGCTGGAGCGGGAGCGGCGGCAACGCTGTGCGTGCTGCCACCGCGAGTAGCTTGCCGAGCGAGGCACCTCCTGCGCGGGGTACGTTTCGCATCCCCTCGCCGTCATGCGTGTTTGCAACATCAGAGCGACAGCTGTAGCATGTCGCGATTTCCGCGCGCTCAACCTTGTCTACTAAACGTGTTCGTATTGGGTATTGTGCTTGCGAGGCGTAATAAACGAACGCAGTGACTAAGTGATATGTATATTCGTCCATATAACACACACACACTCTGACTCACCTCACAGAGTCAGAGAGATACAGATTACAGAAGCTGTCGAGAGTGGAGAAAACTTACTTTAAAACTTGTGCGCAACTCAATAATAAAAACTGTGAACTGGAAAAAAAATCTGTGAATCCGGGGGGCGGGGCCGAGGGGGGCGCAACCGTCGCCGTCGGCACCGCCGCCGCCGCCCGAGCCGGTCGACCCCGCGCCTGCCTACCCGCCGCCAACGGGACCGGCGCACGGGAGAGAGTACCCCTCTGACGAGGACGGAGACGGCCCCCACAAGATCGGGGTCGATACCGCCGACGCCGAGGTCCTCACCGTGGGCGGGCGCGCGGCCAGCGTCGCATCGGGCGGCGCGGACGCGGAGGAGAGGACCGGGCACGGACATGTCAACCTCGCCGATGTGGACGGCATCATGCTGACCACGGCCGAAGGTGCGGAGGCTCAACCCGACGCGGAGACACTCTGCAACGAATCGGACCGACCCTCCGGGAGCACGGAGGGGTCATCGACATCGACCCCCCCGCCCTCCCCCCAGAGCCAGCAAGGGGCGCCGTGGGTCGCGAGGGCGGAGCACATCTGCCACGCGAGGGGATGCACCCGATGTGGCCTCGGCAGGACCACCCCCCTACCGACGGGGTTTGCGCCCGACCGACTCGTTGACGCGGACTGCCCCCGGTGCTCCTTCCCGTTCCGAGAGGTATGGGATGGTGCGGAAGCCCGCTCTCTCGGAGCGGGTCGGGTCTGCTGCGGATTGATGCAGTCGTCCTACCAGTGCCTGTGGTGTGGCGCCGAGACAACAGCTGCCGATCACCCGGCCGAGACCGGATCCGCACAACCGACCACCCCCGCCGCCGCGCCGCCCGAAGACCACATGCTTGAGCATCCAGCAGGTGACACGCTGCCGCCGCCATCGACACCGCCGTCGCCGCCCGAGCTCGTCACCTCCGTGGAGGCTGAAGCGCCATCGGCACCGCCGTCACCGCCCGAGCCCGCCGCCTCCACGGAGCTTGACGCAGAGGTGGCGCGAGCAGCGGAACGAGCGGCACATCGGGACTTACGCGCTGCGCACGAGAACTGGAAGGCGCGGGAGGCCGCGGAGCGCAAGGCGTGGACTGCGCTCGACACGGCGCGGCGAATGTGGGAGGATGCGTGCGACGCGTCGAACCAACTGAAACTGATGTGGGAGCGGGCCCTCTCCACTCCGGCCGGAGACGCCATCGGGTACTACGAGCTACACCGTAAGCAGTCGGAGGCCGCGTTCCACCGCTACCAGGAAGTTGACCGCCGGGGCACCCGGTACAAGCAATGCGTGCAGAGCCTCTCCGACGCGTGTGCATACGGGCGACACGCCGCACAACGCCACGCCGAGGCGCTCGAAGCTCTGGACGACCTCGAGGCGGGCGGCGGCGCGGGCGGAGGGGCGGAGGAGCCCTTGGGGGGTCGCCCCCTCTCGCGGCCGGCGGGCGACACGCTGCCGCCGCCGTCAGCACCGCCGTCACCGCCCGAGCCTACCACCCCTTCGAGGACCGGCAGCGCCACGCCACCCTCCCCGGCCACGCCCCGGGCGCCGTGCACCCGCTGTGGCGATGGCCGCATCCCGGCCGGCGCCATCCAGTGCCCGACGTGCCACTGGATCCTCGACGAGACCTGGGACGAGCACGAGGCGTACCATTGGCAGGATGGAAGCGACATGCGCTGCTGCGATTGCGGCGAGCTGTGGTCCTCGAAGGTACAATATTGCCTAGGGGACTGGTGTGGCGGCCCCGTCGAGCCAGTCGACGGCTCGTGGCATGTTGCATGGAGACTCCTGAATTCGGCAAACCCGGAGCAGCTGCACACTACGATACCTAAGTTCGCCGGCGGTTGCTACGAGAGGGAGGATGTGGAGGTAGTCCGCATCAGTGGGCCACGCCCGTCGCCCCACCCCGGCCCTAGTGCCGCTGGCAGCTCGAGCGCGCACGCGGGCTTGGCACCGGGCGACGTGGACCACGAGGACGAGGCGGTGCCGAACGAGCAAGCGGGCGCGGCGTCCGGCGGCGGAGCTATGCTCGACTCTGACGTCACTTGTTCAGAAGTGCGGACAGGCCGCGACGATGGTTATGGGGGACTTGAATGTGGCGGCCTCGGCGGCGGACAGGTCGTCGGGGAAGCTCGAACGGTACGACGAGGGGACGAACTCGCTGGTCATCGCTCTGCGGCGCCTGGGCCTCACCGACTGCCACGAAGCAGCAGGGCCGTCGGCGATGGGATTCACGTTCTGCCCGAAGGGGAGGGGGGTGTCGCGCATCGACTATGTATGGGCCAATGGGCCGGCGATGGGATGGTCATCGGTTGGGCAACCTGCGCGGGCGGCAGTGGCGACCCGGGCGGGCCCCCTCAGTGCGGATCATGTACCGGTGGTCGCGAGGTTGACGGGCTCCTTCCTATGGGGAGCCGGGCCAGGCACGGTAAGGAGACCGCAGAGGGCAGTGGGCATTGGGCCAGCGGAGCGCCCCAGACGAAGCCCCATGGGGGTGGAGCGGCAAGGCCGCTTCCGAGAACTACTGGCGTCCAACGAGGAGTACTCGGACCGAGGCCGGGCTTTCATCGACGGAGTGCGGGAGTGGCCGGCGGTGGCGAGAGCTATGACGACGCTAGCCCTCCCCTCGACGCGGGTGTCCAGAGAGGCGGTGCAAGCCGCCCGACGAACGGCAATCGAGGCCGCACGGGCGAGGGGGACCGAGGACCAAGCAAGGACCCGGGCGATCAATGAGGCAGCGTCCCTATTAGTGGAGCTGATAGGGGTAGAGGTCGAGATCGACCTCCAGCCGCGCCGCCGAGAGGTGATGCAAGCGGCCAACGAATGGTTCACAAAGGCGGCAGGGGACCACAGGGAGGCGTACGACGCATCCAGGGCCCCCGCTCCGCAAGGGCTCGGCAGAGATGCACGGGCGGAAGTCGACCTCAACCGGGTGACGGAGTTTCTGCGGCGATGGCACGAGATGTGTAGGGTCCCGGAAGGGGAGTGGGACGCCTGGGCGGGCGTCCGCCGGCAGATTAGGGAGGCCCTGCAGTCAGCGGGAGCCCCTTTGCCGGACCCCCCCTCAGCGGAAGCAGGCCGGAGGTGCTGGATGCAGTGGGCGCAGGCCGGGGTCCTTGACACACTGCGACGCATGTGCGCGATGGGCTCGACGTCGGTGGTAGGGGCCGACGTGCTGGCACCGGCGCGACGAGGGAAGGAGGCATATTAGCTCCGAGTAGAGGGGGCGCTCCGCTGCTAGGGGAAACCTGGAGCGCGGACTAACCCTCGGAGACCCGTGTTTACTTTACGGCCCTTTCCCTGCGAACGCGCACCCCCTGGGCTAGGGCTCTCTTGCCCGCAACCCGATGCCAATCATCCGGCCCGCTGGGTGCGCTTCTCAGCTCCCCGGCCCTGGGTGTGCGGTTGCCGACTGCACTCCAAGTGCTCCAAGATCCGACCCTTGAGCACTTGAGCAGATCAGCAGGAGGATGTACGAAGAGATTTAGGAGCAGCAGGGACCCGAGGGACCATGTGGAAGACGGCTAGTGCTAGTCCCCCATCGGGAGGACGACCCCGGCTAGTCGCCGACCACACCCACAAAGAACCCTGCACAAAGATCGCAAGGGCGGGGACCTGTTCTTTTTTACCCATCTCACAGTAGAGAGGTGTCCGTTTTTATTTATTTATTTAGCACTTGAGCAAACTGGATAGATAGAGTCGATTCCGCATGGTACGGGACCCCTCGATCGACGATCGTCTCGCCCTCCCCTCACTGGTGTGTTCATTGGGGGGGGGTCATAACAAACACGGTACAGGATCGAGGTGCACGCTCACGATCCTGCTCGTGCAGAGGTGGGGACGAGAGAGATTTTTAGCAATACCACAAACAAACAACTCTAACACTCACACGTCATTTTTTGTTTTTTTTTGGGAGACGTGGGACGACCCTGTCCTCCTTCTTGCTTCTAGCTCCTCCCATCCCTCGTTTGGCTTTGTTTTCTTTCTTTCTTTGAGACTTGATTTTGTTAAATTCTTTCTTTGTGAATCTCCCAAAGGAAACCAAGAAAGCCACTCACTGGATGGATGGAATGCGGCACGTGTCCGCAGTCCGGCGTTCCGACTCCCGCGCGAAGGAAGGATGCTCGTAAAAAAATCACAGCCTTGTTATTGAGAAGAAAATACGTCTTATGGCGCTGTGCGCTGGTCTGTTCACAGCTCATGGAGTCACGTGGACCCAAGGTGGCAAGGAAACTCCTTTCGTGAGATCGAGCGCCGCTGGCGGACGCACGTCGCAGGCGCCACCTCGTATGGCTCTACTTCTCCTCTCATCTTACATCGCCCCAACCTTGGTGGCTCCGAAGGCACCGTACCAGCACAGCACCCCCGCCCTAAAGGCTAGCCTACACCATTGGGAACAGCCGCGGGTGTGGGAGCAGCATCCCTCGTGGGAGCGCGGCGTGATTGACACTTCGGACGTGCCTGCTACTGATGCTGCTGCTGATTCCGCCGCCGAAGAACGGCCACCCTTAGCTGTCTTTGGAAGCGCACCGCCGGAGGCTCGTGCTAGTCCCATCATGGCGGCCAACAGTAGTGTTTGGGTGCCATCGGCGGGGTTTGTCAGGCGACTGCAGGCCCGGCAAGCAGCATCACGGAAAGCTCGCGTTGCGCGGTCCTCGCCGCCATCACTCAGCATGCTGTCTGGCCTGCCGACCGATGCTATCGTCAGCGAGGTTCGGAAGAGAGCGATGGACCGGCTCGTCCCGGCGTCTGCACTGATGATTGCCCTGCTCCTGCTGCCCCATGCGCTGGAGCTGATTAGGTGAGGTGCGTGGGAAGCATGCAGTTTGGTACAGTAGCATGAATGCCACTCAGGGCGGCGGGGTCCGAACCGGCCAAGTAGCCCGGGAGATGCGGTGTTCGTCTCGTCGAGACACTCGAGTAATGCGGCACTCTGCCGACGCGGCTCTAGTGTCTCCCGCCCCCGCTGTTTCCGCCCCCACCGCCGCTCCCCCCGCCGCCGTTCTCGTTTCCACGGATCTACAGGCTGGTGTTGCGGCTGGTGTTGCGGGGATTCTTAAATTATAAAGATGCTTGCTGGGCTCGGGCCCGGCCCTGCCAAAATAAGTATACAGTATGCTTTTGCTGGGCCCCATTTCCTACATTGGGTAAAAACAAACGAAAAAAGAGAGCTCTGCCCACTCTGGGGAGTGGGGTCTGCTCGCACTGCTGGTCGCTCTCTTTTTTGGTCTGTGATTGTGTTGAAGCCGTACTGTGAACCTGAACGACACTCAAAGATGCACGTCCGAAGTGCGTGGGCCTCAACGAAAATGCGTTTCTCTCGTATCTCTATGCGCATTCGTGTCGCAAAATGAACTCGTGAAGTGATTTGACCTCGTTTCGCACCTGCCTAGCGCTGCCTCGCAGAGAGTGCTAATCTCAGCGCACTGGCATACACGTGTGCGGGGTGCGCAAGAAAGCATGATGGTGGTGACTATGCGCAACACGATCCTGTAGTCCATGTGCCCAAATCAGCCCCTACACAGCTCCGGCAGCGGCGTGAAGAGGATCGGCGTCTGGTCGACGACGGGGACGCCTCACAGCGCCGAAGTCAGGGGTTGCGCACAGGACATGCGGCAGCCACGCTGGCTGAGTGTCTTGCCAAGGCTTCAGAGGAGCATGCTGCCGTCAACGTCGCTCAGAACCGCCGCTCCACTGGGTGCTACCACGGTGGCGCCGCTTCGCTCAGGCAGAAGTTTTCGGAGATCCTCAACGATGGCGCGTCGACGCGCGATCGTGACGATGTTCTCGCCGATCGCTGCGCGCAGCTCCGCATCGGTGTTTTCTCTCAGGAATTCCTCCATCTCGGCGTTGGATCGCTGGAGGTGCGCTATCTGATGCTCGAGCTCCTTGACCTGCTTCTCGATGGGGCTGTCTTCTTCCATGGCCAGAAGTGAAGCGCAGCGACTCCCTGGCGCGGGAACCGCTGCTCTATCGCGCGTGCTGCTGCCGTCTCTGCAAGGTGAAAGAAGAAAAAAATTGCCTGCTGGGCTAGGGCTCTCTTGCCCGCAACCCGATCCCGATCATCCGGCCCGCTGGGTGCGCTTCTGAGCTCCCCGGCCCTGGATGTGAGGCTGCCAACTGCACTCCAAATGCTCCAAGTGCTCTTTCTTGATAGTCGCGAGGCGCTCCCCGCTCCCGTTCCCCTGTGTCCCTGATCGTCCTTACAAGATCCTGCTCGTGCAGGGACCCTGTCCTTCTCCCACCCCTCGTTGGCGTTTCCTTTTAGTTATGTATTTATTCTTTCTTGGTTTATCAATCAATATATTATCAATCATTCTCGGACGGCTTGAAATACAGCCAACGACAACGGAGCCAAGGAATGCGTCCATGTGGAATGCGCCCATGTCTTTGGGCGCGTACTGCGTCGCCGTGTGAGCGTGCTGCACACCCGAAATTGACGCGCCGACATACACGGCCATGCACAGCAAGGTCGGCATCGCAATCTCCCAGATGCCAGAAGGTGAAGCACGGACGATTACGCTTGAGTGGAAGCTCCTTGTGGCGAAGAAGGACGCGCCACTGCGCAAAGCTGGAAATTGCCCGGGCCGGCCTGCGCTCCACGGCAGGGATGAGCGCTCTGCGCTGGTCGGTCTATCCATGGCCGATGTGAGGGCAAGCTTCACCGGCGCCCCGCTTCGGAGGACGCGGCGCCGGCGGCTCAGGGACGGGTTCATAACTTCGCGCCAAGAAAAGGCGGCATCCATTGGTTGACGCCGGCTTCGCACGCAACGCCCCCAAAACGCCCCGGGCGCAATGGAAGTGGGCGACGCGGATTCGTTCGGAGGCGGTCACGCTCTCGATGTGCCCTTGCCACGCGCGGCCGAGCTGCACACGAACGCGCAGCTCGCAGCTTTCATGCGACGTGGAAAACCCGGCATCACCGCGGCGTTCGTGCTTTGCAGCCCTCAATATCGAGCGACCTTCGGAAACAGCGTGGACCGCTTTCTGACGACGCTACAGCGCACATGGGAGTTTAAGGAGCTGCTTGGAAAGCAGCGAAACGCGACGCTGGCCATTGTCGGCTCCCGAGGCGACTCCAACGCCGGCCCACTACACGTGATGGTCGCGGCGCAAAATTTGAACAGGACACTCGGAGTAGACGTAGTAGTATCGGCATCAGAATCATCCAGCCGCTTCGAGCTCACGCTCGAGTTGACGCCTGACGGGTGGTTGACCTCGAGCGTCGGTGTGGTCACGCTGACCATCGAGAGCCTGCAGCTTGCAGTGGACTTTCACGTCACCCTCCTTTCCACGCACACCATCGCGGAGGTCAAGCGCATGATCACGGACAAGCATGGCATACCAGTGGGCGACCAGGAGCTCGTACCGATGGTGGAGGGGGACACGAAGGACGAGGCGCACACGCTTGCCAGGCGCAACGTCAGTGATGACTCCCGCCTCAAGCTGAAGCTTATATGCTCGCTGCTGAGTGCCGAGCCGCAACCGATCACTGTCAAGACGCTCACGCGACGTGTCTTTTTGTTCGAGGTGACGGCCGCGATGACCGTCTACAACCTCAAGGAGCAGATTCGTGACGCGTGCGGCATGCCAGAGGAGCAGCAGCGCCTCATATTTGCGGGAAAGCTGCTGGATGAGCAGTTTGAGCTTCGAAAGTACAATGTGTGGCGCGGCGCGGAGCTGATCTTGATGCCACAATTGGAGTGGCATGCGATCCCCCCGCTGAGCTGCACGATGCGAGCGGGCACTGTACCGTGGTATGAGTGGACGGGGCGCAAGGTCGACGTCCAAATCTAGAGAAATGCTAAGAGTCCAGTGTCCTGTCGCCGGCCCATCTCCCGCTCGCCATCCGTCCCAGCATGAGATCCGTCTCATCATCATCCCCATATCCACCGCGTGCGGCGGGGTGCGTGCCGCCTCAGAGGTCCTTGATCGCCAGCCCATCTTGAGCCGAGCTTCGTCAGCTTGAGCATGACGCCCGTCGAGTCCGTCCGCTGCATGCCCGCGAGCGCCGCCGCGTCGGCGAGGCCGGCGGTCTCGAACGGTGTAGTGCGCGCCGAGGCCGCACGGCCCGCTCGCCTCGAGGGCTTGAAAAAATTGTCCCCACTCAAGGTTATGGGTAATGGGGGAGCGGCCATAACAGGTGGTGTTATGGCTGTCGTTATGGCTGGCTGCTCATAACACCCCATAACACCTCATAACACCTCATAACACCTCCATCGCTGTTATGGCTGTTATGCCCACCCTACCATAATACCTCATAACACCTCATAACACCTCATAGCACTCCATAACACCTCATAACACCTCATAGCACTCCAAGTACTCCAAGTGCCCCTCGCACGACACTGGCACGCGGGACTGGCGCGCACGGAGCTTTAACTACTAAAAGCGGGAGCAGCCAGCTTCCACTTTTTAGAAACCTCGAGACATGGAGTGGAAAAAGGAAAGAAAAAGGACGTGAGTTAAATTGCGGGAAAGACATAGAAAGACATACAAGTTAAAAATGGAGGGAAGCGTGCAGAGCTGCAGAGAGTACGAGTTAGAAACGGGAAGCAAATTGCGTGGGTGGGGGGGGGGGGCGGGTCTTGATTGAGCAATCTGAAGCCATCGCTCAGCCTCAGGAGGCAGGAAGGACGCAGGTTGATGTTATTGAATTTAACTTGAGGGCAAAAGAGAAAATATTTGGCGATCGATGCCGAACCTACCTCGCGCGCGCGCGGCAGCGCGCGAAGCGAAAATTCCAGCGGCGAGCAGTCCGGCGTGGCCTCTCGGGCCATAACACCGTGGACCTGGGACGGCCCTCCCATAGCAGCCCATAACATGTTATGGGTTTATGGCTGTTATGGGCCCTTATGGCAGTTATGGGCGGTGAGTACGGACAAGAAAAAAGAAATCGTAGCTTTGCGCGAAGCGGCGCTTTCCCAGTGCCTGCAGCTGTGCCTGCAGCATCATGAACTTCGCCGAGTCGTCCCAGGCTCGGCACTGGACCTTCACCGCGGCCCAGCTTGCGTCGATGCGCGAGACCCGCGTGCGGCACGTCGCTGAGAGGCTCGCAAAGGCGTCGCCGGTGCCCGCCGCCGCCCGGCTGGCGGTCTCCGATGAGCTGCTGCTGCAGCAGTACTGGCACCACAAGATGCAGGAGATGGGCCGCACCGAGAACTCCAACGCGCCCGAGCGCTTCACCCCGCGCGTCATGACGACGGCACACTACTTCGTGCGCCGCGCGCTGCTCCGCAAGTCGGTCGTCGAGGTGGAGCTGCGCGAGCTGCTGCTCGGCGCGATCTACCTGGCTGGGAAGGTGGAGGAGGAGCACATCCCGCTGACGGTCCTCGTCAAGTACTCTCGCCACTTCAAGCAGGAGGAGAAGGAGCAGCCCGAGCGCTCCGCGGCGGGCCGATCGGTTCTCGACAACGAGGATCCCGCCCGCCTCGCCCGCCCGCCTCGCCCGCCCGCCTCTCAATCCCCGGATCCCATCGCATGCCTGAGGCTCGGCCGCCGTGCGCACGCCCACCGCACCCCCAACTCCACGGCACCACCCCGCCACACCCGCCACACCCGCCACACCGCACAGCCGCAGCCGTCGGCGCCGCGGTCAGATCGGCGCGGCTCACCCTGCAGGCGCGGCTCCTCTCGCTGCTTGGCTACGAGCTGGTGGTCCGCTCGCCCTTCCGCGCGCTCCGAGGGGCGCTCGAGTCCCTGCGCGGCGGCGGCGGCGGCGGCGGTGGCGGCGGCGGCGGCGGCGGCGGCGGCGGTGGCGGCGAGCCCGCTGAGCCTCCCGTCCTCGCTCCCGCGGCGGCCGACGCCGTCGAGGCCTCTGCGCGGCAGTTCCTCAACCTCGCCCTGTGCTCGGACGCGCCGCTGCTGCACTCGCCGCAGCAGATCGCCCTCGCCGCCATCGTTCGCGCCGCCGACGCCGCCGGCGCCGATATCGACGCGTGGCTCGCGCGCGCAGCTGGGGAGAAGGGCGAGCCGGCGAGCGAGGCGGCGCTGGGGCAGCTGCGGCAGCGGCTCGGCGTGGTCGGCACGGCCGTCGACGCTGCCGCGGGCATGCCGCCCGTGGGCGCGATCAAGGACATCAACGGGCGCTGCAAGTCGCTGAGCAGCGCGCTGCAGGCGGGGCATCTGCGAGGCGCTGCGCGTCAGAGAGGCTGTCGCCTGAGCGTGACGCGGGTGGCGTGTAGGCCCTCGACAAGGCGGCGGCGGGCGACGGCGCGGCGCGCGAGCAGGCGTCGCGCGACCGAAAGCACGCGCGAGCCGACGAGGCCATGCGGCGGGCCGAGGCCGAGGCGGCCTCCAACCCCGCCGGCGGCGGAGATGACGCGCCCTTTGCCATCCGCAAGAAGCCGCGCGTGACGACAGCGCCAGCCGCTGCAGCAAAGGAGGAGGCGGCCGGATGACGGTGCCCCCCCCTTCCCCCCCCACCGCATCCTTCGGTCATCGCTCCCGAGTGGCGTTCTCTCTCGGCAGACGGCGGGTCGCGTCTGGTCGGCCGCCATCGCATAGTACTTTTTCCTTCTTCTACCCGTTCCTACCGTTCACCAACACAGTATTGCGCGGAGTATAAAGCTAAGTGTTGGTGTCTTTCATGTCAGTGCTCAGTCGACAGGAGTTCGCACCTCAGGCCGCGGCCGCGGGGGGCGCGGCGCGGGGCGCCGCGGCGCGGGGCGGCGCGGCGCGCGGCGGGCGATGTGGAGTCAGGTGATGAGCATGAGGGGGTCGGTCGAGATGAGGACGTGCGGGCCGTAAACTCGGGATGCGTTGAGCACACGACCGCTAAACATATTTCGGTGACTACGACTATTTCGTTAAATTTCTAAAATTAACGCAGAACGGGGCTTCAAGAACGCAGAAGGGCACATGGGCCCACAACGCGGCAGCAAGGCGGATTGAAGATCCCTCACACCAAGATCGTGCAGGGCGGGGACACATGTTCATGTATGTCCCTAAATCCCATCTCGTCTCAGAGCTTGACCGTTTTGTTTATTTATTTGGCATGGGCAAGGGGGATCTCGTGCGCGTGCGTCTTCGAGCTCCATCCACCATGACCATCGCCAAGCGTGACGGCTGACGCATGTCTTATGTGGGTTCGGCTTCGGATCGCGCTCCGTCTCGGCCTCAGCCGCCGCAGGGCTGAGTTGGTATGGTGTATGGACGCATTTGCGGCCGAGGTTGAGGGGCACGGCATACGACAGTGTGTGGCATGCATATCGACGTGAGGATCCCGAACCATTCAAGATTCATATAATGAACAAACACCCACGCCATAACATACACATGCATGGGACACTCGGTCCGATCATCGGCGGGCGGCCGGGTCGCACGGATCCCGAACACACCCTCCACCCACCCACTTAGACGGACGGACGATCGCGAACGAGCATCCCACGACGTGACGGCTGACGCGCTACCGTACGTCCGTACCTCAGACAGACCAGAAACAGACGAGAGACAGACCCCCAAGCGGGAGAGGGTCTCACATGCGCATGCAGCGAGGGGCCATCGGGACGAAGTAAGTCGTCCGGACGGCACAGCCTCGCGGTTCGAGAGGCGGTTCGAATGGCCATCTTCCTCGCCCTCGTCACGTGTTGTGCACACGATCGCCGCGGAGGGTGCAAAGCACGCGAGGGAAGCGGCTATGGGGCCTCCGCACCTCCCCGCCGCCTAGCGGCGCGGTTCGCCGAAGACGCTGACGAAGTCTGCCTCGACCACCTCGCAGTCAACCTTCTCGTACTTGGCACACCCCACACGCGGCCCGCAGCCGGAGGTGTCGCAGTGCATCACGAGGGAGCTCCACTTGGCGGGCTCGCGAACGCGGCGTGTGGGGGAGTCGATGGTGTTGTTCAGCTCGAAGTCGGTCTTGAAGGCCGGGAAGTAGAAGGATGTGAGCGTGGTGCCGCCCACGGAGACCTTGCCCGAGCGGCCCGAAAGGTCGCCCACCTCGCACTTGTCTTGGTTGGTGGTGCTGCACTTGGCGTAGTCCGGCGAGTCGGCCTGGTAAGCGAGTCCCGGGCGACCTGTCTCGCACAAGGCCTCCGATGCGCCGCCGCACGCGCGAGTGGGGTCGTAGTGGCCGCCCCTGGTGGAGGCGCCGCAATTTTCGCCGTCCTTCCAGCCGACGTGGAGGTGATAGTTGTACTCGTTCACGTTGGAAAGCGACGCGTTGACGGCGACGCCGATGTTGACATAGCCGGAGTTGTAGTTGGCGATGGAGAGGAACTTTTCGTCGGGATCTTCCGCCTTCCAGCACGTTCCCCCGAGCGAAGGCGGAGCCGGAGTCCACGGAGGCGTAGGTGGCGTAGGCGGAGTAGACGGTGGCGTAGGTGGCGGAGCCGGGGACGGCGGTGAAGGGGACGGCGGCGGTGGCTTCCGCCACCATCGGAGCGCACGGCCGTGGGGATTGTGCACCTGGGGCGGGTTGTGCTGAGGTTGTGAGGCACGAATTCGAGGCAAGGGGCGGGGCACTCCAAATTTTCTTTCTTCTTTATTATCCTCGTCGGCCACCATCTCGAACACGTACGTGCGGTCCGTGATCAAACCGCCCCTGTCTACCGGTATCTATGCACGGCCCGGTGGCTGCATGCAACCCACCCCCTCCCGCCCCTCTCCGCCCCCGCCCCCTCCGACGCCCGCTGCGCGCCCAGCCGCAGGTGCGCGGCGGCCTCCTCCGCGGTGCACGGCCCGCTCCACTCCGACGCCCTCTCCCCGCCAGTTTTGCCTCCTCGCCTCCTCGGCTCGACCGGCACGGGCAGCACCGGCCCGAGCCCGCCCGCGCCCTCGGTCTCGCCCTCAACCGCGCCCTGCCTGAGCCGGCGCTCCATGGCCAGGCCGGTCAAGCCCGCCGCGGCGTCCTCTCGCGCCGGACCGCGCGCTCGCCGCCCGGCTGGCCGACCAGCTAGCTAGCTGCACGCCGACAGTCGCCCCAGCTCCAGACGGCTCCGTCGGCGGTGAGGGCGAGGCTGTGCTGGCGTCCAGCACAGAGCTCACAAAGAATCACAGCATGGAGTGGGCAGGGAGTAGGAGAAATTTGTTGTGGAGCCACATAAAAAAGAAATCGCCGCGACCCACCTCTTGGCGGCCTACTGGACCGGAGGACCTATTACGCCACACGCGGCCACACGAACGAGTGGGTGCGAGGACGGCTCGGCGAGGGGCTCACGGCGGGGTCGCACACGGCAGGGGTGACGGGGCCGCTGTGGAGCGATGTGGTCAGGGGAACAACGAGACACAAATGGGACAAGCGCCAGCGGATCAAGGATCAGCACGGCGAGCGCGCGAGATTGAATTCGCCGACGTGGATGATCACAACGTGGTGACAAAGACCGTCATGGGAGCGCGGGTGCGGCAGCAGGCGGGGGTGCCACACGGAGCGCACCACGAGAGGATCATGCGGGGAGAGGCGGGGAGAGATACCCCGGGAGCCGCCACAAGGAGCGAACTCAGGGGCTGCCTCGTCTGTAAGGCCGCGAGGGACGCGGCGAGGAGGGCGGCACTAAAGCGAGACCCGCTGTGTCCGATCGTGCGGAAAGCCGCGCAGCAATGGACCGAGGAAGATGAGAACCCGCCTAGGGCGACAATGGCGCACTTGCTTAGCGGCGCCTGCCTGGAGAATAGGGCGCAGGCCAGATGGTTCCTCAGAGTAGCGCGAGCGCAGACGGGGACGGCGATCAGCAAAGTAGCACAGGCGGCACCCGACTCCAAGGATACGCTGAAGACGCTGAGGATAGCGCATGTCGCTGCGCTGAAGGGCTCACGCTATAGGGTGCTGGATGAGGACGGGTACGATGCGCTAGCCCCCGCAGTCGGGGCGGGTGTTGCCGGCACTGGTAGATGACCTCTCGGAGAAGAGCCGGAGGGACCTTGGCGCCGGGGTCACGAGGAACTTGCAAGTCGTGGCCGAGGCGGCGACGGGAGCGGTGCAGAGGTGGATCCAGCTCAACGATGAGGCTACCGCGCGCATAATGAAGAGAGAGGAACACATTGAGTGGCTGAGGAAGCTCTTCGCTGGGTGGAAGGAGGCCCGGCCGGCCTTGAGGGAGTCGCGGAGGAGGAGGGATAACAGAGGTAACGTGGGGACGGGCCAACAGCCAGTGGGACGAACGAGGGCCGCGACGGCGGCCCAAACGGGAGGGAGCGGAGACAGTGGGCAGCGAGCGAAGTGGGTGAAACTGATGATGCTCCTTCGACTTAGGGAGCGGTTCAGCTGCTGGGCGGGCTTCAGGGTGGTGCTCACGCGAAAAGGAATCGACGCGATGTACAAAGCATACAACAAGAGGGGAAAGAAGAGGACGGACATCAGTGATGACGAAACAGAAGCTAGCGCAGACGAGAGCAGGGCAGACCCGGGGACTGGGGAGCCGGAGCAGACGGCATCGGCCGCCGAGGGAACGTTGGGAAGAGGCACGAGGAGGGCGGCGACCTCGACCGACTATGGAGGACCCGTCACCAGACGACGCAGGGCAGACGACGGGGAGGCGGAGCAGACGCGCAGGGCGAGACGAGGGAGGGAGCAGGATGTTGCGGAGATCAGCAGGAGGATGTACGACGAGATTAGGAGCAGCAGGGACCCGAGGGACCATGTGGAAGACGGCTAGTGCTAGTCCCCCACATCGGGAGGACGACCCCGGCTAGTCGCCGACCACACCCACAAAGAACCCTGCACAAAGACCGCAGGGCGGGGACCTGTTCCTTTTTCCCCATCTCCCACTAGGCGTGTGCGTTTTATTTATTTATCTTGGCGGCCTGCCCAGCGTTGCGCGAAATGCTCTCCGCTCTCGTCGCCACCAGCACCGGCACCGTCGCCACACGCACCTTGCCTGTCCTCCAGCCGTCGGCCGCTGGCCGCTGGGACTCGTCCAATGTCGCCTCTCCCGTGGTGCTCCTGCCGCGCGAAGGCGTGGCCGGCGATCCTTGGCGGATGTTTTATTATGGGTCGGACGGGACCTGGTCCGACGCGGCCGCGACGCCGTTCCTGCCGACGGGCAAGTGCGGCCTCGCCACGAGCGCCGACGGCCTCACCTGGACGCGGGCGACGGATGAGTGCGTGTTTGCGCCCGGCGAGCGCGGCGCGTGGGACTCGCTCCACGTGGGCGTGGGCGACGTGCACTGGAATGAGGACGGCCGGAGCCTGACGATGTACTACCTCGCGGCGGGCGACGAGGCTGTCGACGGCGCGCCGGCCGGCATCCGGATGCGAATCGGGCGCGCGACGAGCGAGGACGGCGGGCTGAGCTGGGCGCGCGAGCCCGAGCCCGTCGTCAGCGCCGACGCGGCGGAAGGCCTGTTTGCTTCCTGGCCGCGGGTGCTCCCTCCGGCGCTGACGGGCGGCCCGTGGCGGATGCTCTACCACTCGTTCGACGGGCGGCGCTGGCGCGCCTTCTCTTGCCGGAGCGGCGGCGGCGATGCGGAGCCGCAGGTTGCGAGGAGCCTTCCGAGAGCCTTCTCGGAGCCCTCCCTGTAGGAGCGACGACGGCGGCGCGAGCTGGACGCGCGAAGGGCTCGCGCTCGGTCCCGGAAAGGGAGGCGCGCGCGGGGCGCGCGGGGCGCGCGCGTGCAACCGAGGGCCCGCTCACCCCCAGGCGCCGGACGGCGTGCCGCAGGCGCGTGGGACGAGCAGGGCGTGGGCACGCGCTGCGTGGTCCCGTGGCGAGACCGGCTGCTGATGATCTACGAGGGCGTCGAGGCTGGCAGCGGGACCCACCGGCTCGGCGGCGCGGCGAGCGCCGACGGCGGCCACACAGAGGGGGGACGGGGCTCGGCCGTCGAGCCGGCGCGTGCATGACGCGCCCCGCGGCGTGCCACGTAGGTGGTCGCAGCTGGGAGCGGCTCGACCTGCCGCCGCTGCTCGAGCCCGGCGGCGCGGGCGGCGACTGGACCGCGCAGGTTGTGGGCACGCCGTACGCGGTCGCTCTGCCGGCGCGACGGCCGCACAGCCCCACCAATGCCTCCCGCACGAGCGCCCCTCCCCGAGCGCGCCCCTCCCCTCCCTCCCCTCCCTCCCGCCCGCCTCGCGCCCGCCGGCTCGCGCGCCGCCACGCCAGTGACGGGGCCCTCCCGACGGGCGGCAGGGCGGCGGGCTGCGCCTCTTCTTCTGCGGCAAGCCGAGCGCCGAGCGCGGCGGCATGTGCATCGGCGCGCTCGACTCGCCGGCGGGCAGGCTCGAGGCGGACGCGTGGCTGCCCGCCGGCAAGAGGGTCAGCGGCAGCGCGTCCTACCTGAAGGGGATGGTCGAGTCGCCGCTCGAGTTCCGCTCGGGCGAGGCGCTCGACAACCTGACGCCCAACCTCAAGCTGCTCGGCGGCGCGGCCGCGGTCAGCGCCGCGCTCGTCGGGGGCTTCCTCGCGGCGAACGGCGTTCTGTGAGCTTCAGCTTTCGTTTAAAAGAATGGCACTTGGTGCACCTGGACCACTGCCGCGCCTGCCGCTCATTATTTTCACTTGGTCTTGGAGCCGACGCGCTTGGACTCCTTTGCACCTTGGACCCTCGTGCTCGAGCTTGGACCATGCTCTCCATGTGGACGAGTATAGGCACACATGGTGCAGCGCCTGTGGCGGTGTGGGGGCTGGGGGGCGCTGGGCACATCCGGGTGTTGGCTGTTGGCGCTGCCCGGGTCCCGTGCCCAGTGCGGCACTTGGAGCACTTTGAGTGCAGACTTCCCGGAATTCTTTTTATGCCCGTCGATTTGATTTCAGCCACCCCCTAAGAAGGCAGCCCCCCCCCCCTATTTTGCTGCCCGCCCCGCACTCGGCCAGCTCGGCTCGCTTGCCGACACCGCGACCGTCTCCCGCTGCAGGCCAAGACGGCGCCGCCGCTGGACCTTGACCGCCTGGCCCGCAGCATCGCGCCCCCATGAAGACCCCCTGAAAAGGCCCCTTTCCAGTGCGTGGACATTGTTGAGAGCCACGCTCTCGAGTCGGACGGCTTTATACCCGGACGTGTGTGCAACGACCGAGGTGCGAGGACGGTGTACGGCTCTAGAAGGCGGAGGTCATCATGCTATCAGTGTGGTTTGCCATAGGAGTTCCCTATTGTGATGTTAGAGGTGGGTTAAGAATAAATAAATAAATAAATACAACGGACACGCCAAACGAAGGGTGGGAGAAGGACAGGGTCCCCACCTGCACAAGCAGGATCTTGTAGGACGATCGTGGGAGGGACACAGGGGAACGGGAGCGGGGAGCGCATCGCGACACGGAGGGGGGCTGGGCAGGGGGTTCACCCTCACGACAGGAATCCCATCTCTCGTATAGGACAGGTTGCACCCGGCGGCACGGGGGCAAGCGCGGGCCTCCTACTGGTTGCGCTCTCCTAGTTCTCCTGCTCCTGACAAGGGACAGCGACAGGCTCGCAGCACGGTGGACTCCCTATCCACTGGCGATCTCTCTCGACTAGCGACCTTCCTCCGACGTCTCACCGGCAGTCTCTTCTACCACAGGCAGACTGACACGTGGGTGGCAGTGGCGGTGATAGGAGTCTCCCACTCTGTGGGCCTCGCTAGAAGTGCGACCCCTGCGCGTGTCCTCGCCCTTGAGGAAGGGGAAGGGGCTGTGTGTCTGTGCATGTGTACAACATGTGTGTGTGTGTGTGTGTGTGTGTGTGTGTGTGTGTGTGTGTGTGTGTGTGTGTGTGTGTGTGTGTGTGCTCGCTCGCTCGCTCGCTCGCTCGCTCGCTCGCTCGCTCCCTCGCTCGATCGCGCGCGCGCTGCGCGAGCCGCCCTGCCCGCTGCGCTGCTAGGGTTGCGCTGCGGGAAGGGCTCGGCGGCCGTTCCTAGAAATCCTCGTCGCTCCCCTCGTAGAGGGAGGGCTCGTTGGACTCGAGGAGTGGGCCGCCGTCGGAGGAGGAGCGGGCGGCTCCGCGGGCGACGCTCGCCCAGTTCTTCTTGTTGCTCTTGACCTCGCCGCCGCCGCCGCCGCCGCCGCGGGTGGGTTAAGAATTGCTACGTTTTTCTTCTGTCCGCCTTTTTTAAATCCGCTGCTTCGAACTGTGCTGCGCTGCCTCGCAAGAACACGATGCCCTCGCCAGTCTCCGGACGCACGCGCTCGTCGCCCCGCCGCACCAAGTCGCCTGCAAAGTTCTCACCTTCAGCAGCAGCGTGCGCTGCTCCGCCCTGCGCCCGGCTGCCGCCCCTGGGCGCGGCGCGCAGCGGGGCGATCTTGACGCTCCACCCCACCCTCGCCCCTCAGGTCGGAGCCGAAAAAGTCGCCCTCCAAGGCGAAGCCGGCGCCCAAGGTCAAGGCCTCGCCCGCGCTGGCGCTGCCCAAAATCAAGCCGACCAAGAGCGGAGTCCTCTCGGGCATCTCGGCGCTCGGCGGCCTCCTGCTCGCGTATGCTGCGATGGGCAGTCGGCTCCAGATCGAGGTGCCCACCGGCCCGGTCACCTTCCTGAACTTTGCGGTAGCCACCGGCGCCGCGTACGGCGGCGGCTTCCTCCTCGTGCCAAAAGTCCTCATCGACATCAACTTCAGCAAGTCGCCCGACAAGTACCACATCTTCTTCGCACGCTTCATCGGCTTCCTGATGTGCCTGCTCTCGCACATGATCCACACCAAGGCGATGGGCGCCGACACGTCCAAGTTCGCCGCCATCATGATGTCCGGCTGCGCCTTCCTCGGCCCGACGTATGCCGGCCTCAAGCTCAACCCGAAGCAGACGCCGGCCGGACACATGCCGGCGCACGTCATTATGCTCGTGGCGGGCATCCTCGCCGCCACCGAGTGAGCTTGCGGGCCCACCCGGCACAGCGGACGGGCTGCAGCCGCAGCGGCCGCGCGCGGGGCGCGCGGAGGCGGCAGGTACGATGCGCTAACGGCGCCGCCACCGAACAACTATTGTGCAACAGAGGAGGCGCGGCTGCCGCAGTGCGCGCGCCTCGCTCTCGAGGGGCCGTGGACCGAACACTCTGCCCATATCATCATCTGATGACTGGCTCCGGTCCTCCGGCAGCTCTACAGTGGCATGTCTGGCATGAGAGTGGGAGGGAGTGTAAACTCGTTGTCGCTACGGCTCAACGCCGCAGGGGAGGTGCATGTGTGTGTGTGTGTCTCGCTCTCTCTCGCCCGCGGCTCGTTTGAGCTCTGACTCTTAGCCCAGCGCCCCGCCGTAGCCCGTAGCCCGTGCGTGTGGGGAATAGGTACAACTTGTTCTTTAACTGATAGACGCTTGCGCGCGCGTAGCCTTTCCCATTCCCCCTGCGCCCTGGTGGAGTGCGAGCGTGGCGCCAGTGGCAGTGCGCAGTTCGGGCCACCCAGTGCGGGGACCCCCGCTGTTATCAGCTGAGAGCGCTGTCTCCCCTCGTTTTTAGCGCGCGGGCGCGCCCCCGGCTGGCGCGGTGGCGGCTGGCCCGGGTGGCGCTGCGGCTAGGGCTGCGGGGCTGCGGCGTGCGGGCGGCTGGGGCGGTTCCTCCCCGCTCCCGGGGTCCCCCTCCGCCCTCGACCAGCCCCCTCGTGCCTCGACCAGCCACACAGGGGGCGCCGCGCCGCGTGTGTGACGTGTGAGGCAGCCCGCCCAAATGACTGAAAACGTACATCATGCATACTGCTACCTCAGTACTCATCAGAGTGGAGCCGTCCTTCCGGCAGCAGGGGACCACGCGCTCGCGGGTCATTGCGAATGAGGGGGATCCACGGTGGCTGGGTCCGCCTCCGCGGCTGACAGCGGGCGCGAGACCGGATGGGGCAGTCCATACCTCGCACGGAAGAGGGCATCAAAGAATTCATGCGGCGATACGTGGCCATCGTGGTTCCCATCGCACGCACGCCATATCTCGTCCAGCCTTGCTTCAGACATGGGGAAGGGACAGACCGCCGCGAAGCCGGTGCGGAGCTCTTCGTGTCGCAACCGACCGCTGCCGTCGGCGTCGAAAAATGCGAAGGCCCATTGGACATCACGCGAGGACCTTTCCTGCATGCGCAGCGCGTGCAGGTAGCAGTCCCTGAATGTCGAACGGCTGAGCGGCGGGAATGGTTCTCCATCCGCCGGGACGGACGCCTCGCGCAGGATCTTGACCAGTGCCGGGGCGTGAGGAGCCAAGTCGCTGCCGAGGCTTCTGAAGCGAGCAACCAGCGCCTCCTCGCCAATGCTGTCGTGGGTGGCGCAGCTGCCAGCAAAGAAGTCAAAGGCTGCGTCGAGCTGCGTCGACGCGAGCGGCCGCTCGAGGCGTTTTTCTGGAGGGACGCTGCACTGCGACTCGTCGAGGACGTCGCTGATGCCGTCGTGACTCAGCAGCATCTGCGCCCAAGCACGAGCCAGATGGACTTGGTGGTATGCGGAAGGCCGGAAACGCATCGTGAGCAGCACCGGCAGGTGGTCCGACGGGTGTTCGGCGTTCGGGATCGGCTTGCAGCACTCGAGGGCTGGCTGGTCGAGCACCTCGAGCAGCTCGAGCTTCGAGGGCTCGAAAAAGATGTAGTCGATGCACATCTTGCGGCAAGCAGTGACCGATGTGGGCTGGGAGGCAGCCGCAAAGGCATTGAAGACGAATGGGTGCACCGTCTCGTGGCTGAGCTCGAAGAGCGTCCTGGCCGCTGCCGCTAGCTGACGAAAGTTTGTGGTGTTGAAATCCCCCGCCATCACCACGGGCGCGTCGATCGCCCCATGCTCTCGGGCAAAGGCGGTGAGCGCGTAGAGAAGTTGTGCTGTCTCGCGCACTCGGATGCGATCCATGGTTGGGTCGTCAGGGTTCCTCGCGAGGTGCGTCGAGAGGAAGAGCATCCTTTGGCCACACGTGGTCTGCAGGAGCGCAAAGATGCAGACACGATCTTTGTAGGTGCGTCCTGTGACGGGGTCGGCCCGGTCGATAAACTCGATGCTCTTGTGGGCAATCAGCGAGAAGGGGTCTCGCCAGAACACAGCGCATCCATCGTGCGAGGTCTCGCGCGGACGCTTGCACCAAATTGATGAGTAGCCGTGCTGCTTGAGCGCTGGCGCGAACCAGTCCTCCCAGCGGTCGAGTTCGACGAGGGAGAGCACGTCTGCGTCCAGCGCAACAATACGCTGCAACAGTCGCTCCTTCCGCGCCTCCCACTTAAAATGACGCTCGTGCTCCTCCTCGACGAGCTGCTGCTCCTCCGCCGTCATCAGCTCCTCCGCCCACCGCGGCCAGCCAACATTCTTGTATCGCCCCGACTCGTCACGCTCGTAGAACTTCTCGATGATCTTTGAACGGCGATCCTGGGTAAGCGTGCTTAGCCCATGCAAGAACCACGGCTGCCGATTATCCCCCAGGTACGATGCGAGCACATTGTATTGCCCGCATCGGACGATGACTGGCGACGCTGGCTTCTCCAGAACAGCTTCTGCGGACCGGGTGAAGCGTTGTGAGATTGTACGCAGCCAGGAGGGCTCAAGCCGTGAGACACGCTGCAAGCTCGAGAGACGTGTCGCGACCGACGAGTGCACTGACCCCATATGGCGCCGTGGCGAGTTCGGGGTGGGGGGGGACAGTCCGAAAAAATTTCCTTTCGCCCCTGCCACCGCGGCGCAATCGCCATCTATTTGGTGCGGCAATACTCGACCAGAGGTCACTAGATGCAACCCATGTAGTCCACCCTTGCGGGATGCTTTCCTCCTAGCTCCCCTGTTCGAGTTTCTCTAGGAGCGACCTAGCCCGGGACTGAGGACCACCGGAAAGGAGGAGGGGGGGGGGAGAGAATTGGAGGTGCTAAGCGGCCGCACCACCCGGCTCCATCTGATCCTCGGCGAGCTTTTGATACGCCCCTCCCGGTTCCTTCGCTCTCGGCTGGTGAGGCAGCGAGGCGTACACCTGATACACGATCGGTGCTTTCAGAAATGGCCTCGGAGCGGTGGTAGTGCAACGGCCGTGCATGCACCTCTTTGGGATTCGACTTTGGCACCCCTCCCTTCACGGGATCCGCAAGTCGACCTGGCCGCGAAGGGAAGGAGGTGAGCACGCAATGGATTGGTCACGGGGGGGGCACACACGCCTGTTACGGCAGCCTTGAAGCTGCGAGCTGCGGCTCCCGCAGTGGAGGTTGGCTCGTCGACCTGCGAGTAGGCGTAGGCACCCACCATGCCCGTCACGGCCAGGGCAGACACGCATCCGCCCACGTACATCACGTTTCTTGCGTGAAGGTCGTCGCCGGTTTCAGGAAGGTACCCAGTGGAATTTTGCGGAGGTGGAAAGGGCGTCGGCGGAGGCGGTGGTGGAGGGCTTGGCACGGGCGGCGGGGGTAGGATACAGAGCTCTGGATCAACCTTCTTTCCCATGAACCAGCAATCGGGTGGTGGCTGTGGTGGAGGAGGCAGCGAGGGTGCGGACGTGCCTCCGAGCCAAGCATGGGCCACGAGAGCTTTCCCGAGGAGCGCGAGCAGGTGCCTGGCTGGCATGCACCAACAGGCGAGGCGCGTTCTTGCGTCCGATCACCCTGCGGCGCGTGCGACTGTCTTTGTTTGAAGTAAAAAGTCGAATCAGAGCGGCGTCGGCGTTGTCCTCCATTTTCCTCCCCCGGACCGCCCGTCCGGGACCGCTCCGGGACGCACGCCGGCGAAGCACCATCAAGCTGCTGTACGGCCCCGGCATCGCCTTCCCAGGCTTAGCTAGACTGGAGAGATATTGTGGACATGGTTGGTCTCTACAATATATACACTGACACTGAACCTCTCAGAGCTCGTCCCGGTCCGTCACGGCCATCCTCGGCCTCCGGAGGGCCCCCGGCCGCGGCGCGGTGCGGCGGAGTCACAAATCCGACGGCCGGCAGAGCAAGCACCGGGGGGACGCGGTCGGGCGATCTAAGGCCCAGTGAGGCGTATGCATTGCCCATCCAGGGCTATCACCTGGACCTATCAACAGGCGCCTGCGGCGCCGTGGTCAGAAGCTGCTGCTCCCACCTGTTCACACTAGTGGACAGTAGGTCAAAAGAAACAGCTCGCGCGACCAGACCTTGCCCCGAGAATGACCTTGCCCGCGAGCGAGGCCCGAGACTGACCTGCCAATGTGCGGAGCGAGGCTCGGCGAGGATTTGCCTCCGCCTGGCCCAGACGTCGGGCCAACGCCACCTCGCCGAAGCGGGCGGCGCCCTGCGTCCAGCCCGGCCCTGCAGCTGCCGTGCGACGACGCTGCGATTGCGGCGCTGCTCTCACCGAGAAAGCTGGCATTGGATTGCGGAGGCGCCAGCGCTGGTGGTGTTGAGGCGACAAAGCTGCTCAAGGCGTCCTTCGGCTCACTTAGCGACAACCGCGCCGCGCTCGATTTAACCGGGCCCTTCAAGGACGCTGAGCGCGCCGTACTTCTTGACAGCGAGACGCGACATGTGCTCGCCGCCGCAGTTGTGCACGTGCGTGCTGGCTCGGTGCTCGAGGTCCCTCTCTTCGCTACAGCCAAGAAATTCCGGGGGCAAGGCTTCGGCTCTGCGCTCTATGCGGCCCTCGCAGGGCTCGGTCGCCGCCTCGGCCTGCAAACCCTCGTCGTCTCAGCCACAGACGAGTCTCGTGCCTTTTGGGTCCGGCAGGGGCTGCACGCCAAAAAGTTCTGCGGCGCGGCGGAGAAGAGCGCGATGAGCTCGCTGGAGCAGCGCGGCCTCGTCACCTCCTTCCAAAACACGACGCTGATGGCCGCGCCCATTCCGCAGGGCCTCGAGCCGCCGCCCCTCGCGCTCGACCAGCGCGACCGCGACCGGCTCCCCGGCCTGAAGGCGCGTGCCGCCGCCTCTACGCACTGCTACGAGGACATCAACGATAAGGGGAGCTTCTGGGTCGCGGCCGATGGCAGCCGGCAGTGGCGCGCGCCCTACCCTGCGGATGAGATGCTGACCGGCGTCGACCCGAACGTCAAGTGGGTGCCGTACAAGGAGCTGGAGGCCTTCTTTGCGGGTCCAACGCGCGGGTGGGGCTTGCGCTGCACGCGAGACATTAAGGACACGGAGTTTGTGGTGGAGATCGTCGGCCGCTGCCTCTCGTTCGAGGAGTACGAGCAGCTCGAGGACAAGACCTACGCGGTGGGCTTCCCCGAGAATATTAGCGAGGCTAAGCGCGCGGCGGGCGATCGGCTGCAGTACATCGACCCGAAGACGGAGGGGGGGCTGTGGCGCTTCATCAACGACTCGGAGGAGGCGCCCAACCTCCGCCTCGTCTACATCCCTCGCTTTGAGAAGCCCTCGGCCAAGAATCCAGACGGCGTGCTCCCGAAGCGCGCCTTTCTCCAGGCAGCGCACGACATCCCCGCGGGCGTCGAGCTCACGTGGGACTACGGCCCCGCCTACCCACGGCCCTGGAAGGAGGCCGAGGCCTCTGAGGCCGGCGGACAGGCGTTGCGGGTCGATGAGGGCGGCCGCAGAGCAGCAGCAAAGTGGGCGAGCGCAGAGCCCGGCAGGTCTGTGTCCTCGCCCACTCCAGCCGACGTGGGGGCGGCGGAGCGTTGCCGCGGGGAGGCTTCCACTCGCGGTGGCACGGGCGAGGGGCGGGTGTCTGGGGGGGCAGACGCGCGGGTGGAGAAGCCGGCGCTTGCAGAGCGCGACCGCGCGACCACCGACCGCAAGCTGTGGCCGGGCGCCTTTGACGCCGGGTGGCGCATCCGCGAGGCCTGCCGCAATGCGGCTAAGAACAGCCACTGGAAGTACGTCAGCCCTGAGGGCAAGGACTACACCTCCGCTGCCGCGGCGGCCAGCGCTTCCGGCCGCGGTGAGTCGAGGCCCTCTGGGCTCGTGGCAACCGCTGCCGCCGCCTCCTCCGGGCACGAGTCCGGTGCTGAGAGCGAGTTGGAAGTGGAGTGCGAGGTGGAGGACGCGACGGGGGCGGCGGCGGCAGCGGCGACAGCGGAAGCGGCGGCGGCGGGAGCGGCGGCGGCTGCGGCGGAAGCGGCGGAAGCGGGTGTGATGGGCGGGAGGATCCGATCGAGGATGCTCCCCGCGGGCACACACGTGCGTTTCAGGTGGGAGACCGAGAAGGGAGACAAGGAGTGGTTCGCCGGCGTGATCAAGAGCTACTCCTCCCGGCGTGGGCTCTGCGTCGCGTACGACAACGGCGAGACTCAGTACGAAGATTTGGACGACTGGGGTCTCGACGACTTGGAGGTTGTCGGCTTTGAAGGTGACGATACTACCTCCTCTTTGCAGCACCTCCACGCCTTCGACACTTCAAGCGATGAGGAGGAGCCGCACATGACGGGTGCGCTCTCGGCAGAGGACGCGGCGGCTACCTCGGCAGAGGACGCGGCGAGGGCCCCGGCTCGCGCGTGCTCGACGTGCACGCTCCTCTGCGACGACCCGCAGGTGCGGAGCTGTCAGGCGTGCGGCGCGAGGCTGCCGCCGCTGCTAGGGCGTCCGCCGGCGCCCTCATCCGGCCCTCGCCGCCCGCGCGGGAGGATCAGCGACGGCGGATACGAGCAGGCGGCGGAGCAGGAGGAGGGCCGGCTCCGCGGGGCAAAGCTGGACGACGAGTGGGTGGGAAAGGGCGAGCTGCCGCCGGCACTGGTCGCGAGGGCGGAGGAGCTCGTGGCGCAGCGCGAGGCGGAGCGATCCGCGCTCTCGGCCTCGCAGGGATCGGACAGCGACAGCGATGCATCACCCGCTTCCTCGCGCAGCAAGCCCAACGAGCTGGCGGGCGTGATCTGCTCCTCCGCGGAGGCGGCAGAGGGAGGGGAAGCGGCGCCGGCGCTGGCGCCGGCGGCCGGGGCGGAGCCAACCCCGGTCAAGAAGCCTTCCTATCGCATCGCGAGGCGATCCCGCCCGTCCGGCTCGCTCAACTTGCAGGCAGAGCCCGCCCGGGCGAGCAGCAGCAGCGAAACGTCGCGGGCGACCTCTGCACGTGAGGCGAAGCGCGAGCTTCCCGGCCCGTGCGAGCCTCTTCCGCCGCCGCCGCCGCCGCCGCCGCCGCCGCCGCCGCAGCCGCCGCCGCCGCCGCCGCCGCCGCCGCCCTCGTCGGCTGAGCCACTGCTGCTGCCGTCATCGGTCGAGCGGCCGCCGCAACGCCCGCGGGCGGTAGCGGACAGCGGTCGCGAGCGAGACGAGCGGCCAAGCTCTAGCAGCGCGTCAGCTCTGATGAGCGCCAAACCGGCGCAGGCCAAGGCGAGCGCTGCGATTCTGCGGCGGGAGGCGCTCGCGCTGTCGGAGGCAGTGGTGACGGCGCGGCAGCAGGCAGCACACGCGCTGCGCCAGCCCGACCCAGCGTACAGGGGCTTAGCCGTCAAGTGGCGCGCGGTTCTCGTCGCTGTTGGCGAGAGATTGCAGCGTGGGCTCGCCAAGTACCACGTCACCGCTGCTGTTCTGGAGTGGCGCGTGCGCACCATCGCGCTCCTCACGAGAAAGGCGCAAGGGGCGCAGGCGCAAGGGTTGCACGACAGCATCTGCTCCTGCCGTTGCGCGGCGCGCCTTTTTGACGACGCGGAGCGGGCCGGCAACGCGGCTGGGTCGGTGGTCGAGGCGGTGTGCAACGCCTCGTACGCGCTGATCGAGCCCTGCTACGAGCTGTACGCGGCGGTGCAGTTTGCGATGAAAACCTTCTCCAACTACAAGGCGTACGAGCCGGACCCGGAAGCGCCGGAAGGTTGGCTCATCCCGCAGAACGTGCCCGCGGACGGTCCCAATCCGAAGCTGTACTGGCATGATGTACCCGCAGACGTTGCACACGAGCGCATCGTTGATGACCCGTCGGTATGGCTTCTCTTCGACTCCAGCGGCAAGCTCGACACCGCGGCGCGCTTCTACGCCACTCTCGTCTCGTTGCCGGAGCACCCCTCGCCGCTCGATGTGCTGCGCGCTTTCGGCGGGCGGCTTCGACAGGCGCGGCGGGCCCTCGGTGTCGAGCCGTCGCACCTGCTGCAGCAGGAGCCGATCGCCTCCAGGATTGATGCGGAGGTGTACGCGTGCATCGAGGAGGCCGACTTTCTGCTGCCCGGCGGCCGTGGCTGCCTCTCTGCCCTCGCCAACGGCTTGCGGCCTTGCTATCGCCTCCTGCAAGAAGCAATCCACCGCCTTCTAAAAGCCAAGGCGTTTGACGAGAATGGCGAAGCGGTGTATCATCTCGCGGGCGCCGACGACCAGCTCGTGTCGGAGCGGGACCCTCGCAACTACCGTCTCATTGAGAGGACTCCCGAGCGTGCCTCTGATTGCGACCACCTCCTCTTGCACGGCGACTCGCTGCTCAACCACGCAGCGGATGCGGCGTCGGCTGCGCTGCGGCCGGTGCTCGTGGAGGCGAAGGAGGCGCAGGCGCTTCAGTACGCCCTAGAGAGCGCCGAGGCCGACGTGAGCAGGCTGTGTCCAGAGGCGTCTTTCGCATCGGCGCCGACAGTCGCCGACACGGGCAGCGGCGCCGCCGCGGGAGAGGCGGAGCGCGCGATCGCCGAGGCGGCTCGTGCGGTCGCTGCCTCGTTCCTTCAAGCCCGCGGCGGCAGCTTGTTACTGAGCTGCCTCTGCACAGAGCTGGATCGGATGATCCCGGCTTGGCGGAACGCTGGGTCGCAGGGGGGTGCAAAGGCCAAGGACCGGATCGAGGCTTGTTCCCGTGGCCTCTTTGAGGTTGTGACTGTGGGCAGCACGTGCACGGTACGCATGGTTGCGAAACCCTCCGCCGCGGCCGCTCCGGGCTCCTCTGAGTCGCACAAGCGCCAGAAGAGGCTCGACGGTTCAGCCGTGAGCACTTCATTCATCAGCCCAGGGCAGATGGCGGCCGCAGTCCCTGCCGCTGCCTCTGCCGCCGCCCCCTCCTCCGCAGTCCCTGCCGCCACCTCTGCCGCCGCCCCCTCCTCCGCAGTCCCTGCCGCCGCCTCTGCCGCCGCCGAATCCTCACCTGCCACTACTCCCGGCGGGCCGGTTTCGAAGCGAGCGGTGGAGGTGGAGCCGCGGGCAGCGGGTAAGAAGCAGAAGCTCACCCCACCGCCACCGCCTCCGCGCTTGCAACCGCCGCCGCCACCGCCTCCGCGCTTGCAACCGCCGCCGCCCCCCGCTCAGCACTTCGACGAGGCGGCATGGGACCCGATGAGGACCATGTCACTTCATCCAATCCACCAGGCGGAGTTGGCAGGCGTGGCGCAGCTCCGCACGGCGTACAACCGCTATGGCGTAGTGCGGCAGCTGGAGTTTGTGACGCCACACCGGGGCGGACGGCTAGCGCTCATCGAATTCACAACCGTAGAGGCGGTCTCCGCGGTGCCGTGTGTTCTGACCGTGGGCGAGGCGCGGCTACAGGCATCGCCTCTCCCGCCGGTGCAGCCACCTCATCCGCTGCCACCGCAGCCGCAGCAACCGCCGCCGACCCCGCAGCGACCACCACCGCCGCCGCAGCCGCCGCCGCCACCACCGCGCCAGCAGCAGCCGCCACCGCAGCAGTCCCAGCCCGCTGCGACGCCTGCGGTGGAGCCGAGCGAACGTGCCATCTTCCTGGCGGCGCCTGTTTCTCAACCGGCGCAGGAACTGCCGCAGCCGCCGCAGCTGCAGCCGCAGCTGCAGCCGCAGCAGCGACCACCGCCGCTGCCGCAGCAGCGACCACCGCCGCCGCCGCAGCAGCGACCACCACCGCAGCCGCAGCAGCGACCACCACCGCAGCCCCAGCCCCAGCCCCAGCCCCAGCACCGGCCGCAGCACCGGCCGCCGCAGCCGCCGCAGCCCCAGCCGCAGCACGTGGAGGAGGTGAGAAGCATTCTGGAGGGTGCACCCGAGGGCGCGATGGAGCTCAGTGCCCTTGGGCCGCTGCTGAGCTCGGCCGTGCGGGAGCAGGTCTCTCTCGCAGGTGGGCTGAAGAACATGCTGAGGGAGTGGGTGCGGGAGGGGAGCAGGATCTTTCAGCTAGTCAAGACGGTTGAAGACGCCAATGGGCGTCTTCTGGCCAGGGCGATCGATGGCGTCCGCTTGAGACGTAGAAAGTAGCCGTGTCGTCGCTACGCCGCGACGCAATCGCTGACACTGACCAGCTGCAGTCCATATGACCGACCCGGCTGTCGTTGTGCGGCTCGGCGCGAGACTACAACCCGGGCTGCTTGGCCACGGCGAGGGCGTGACGAGGCTCAACACGCCGACCCGCCTTCCGTCAACGCTGGGTGACGAGCGCGCCGTGAGCGTGTCGGCTGGAGCTGGCCACAGCCTCGCCCTCACCGGCGGCCTGTGTCTGTCTGCCCCCCCCCCCCCTTCTAACATTGCACCCTCCCCTGTCCTCTCGACTGCATTCCTCTTAGCTCTTTTCATACAAAAATCGTAGAGTAAACGGGTTGGTTGTAGGTTGAGCTCTTGAGGTTGACACACCTGATCGAATGGTACACTGTTCATGCATAATGGTTGTCCCCCTATTTATAACAATAACTCCACTGAGGCAACCAAAAACACAACTCACAAAAAGCTTCACTGCTGTTTACCCACGGCAAACAAAAATCACGGCCATGCGCATCTCCTCCCATGCGCATCTCTATTCTCGTAGATTGCACCCTCGTCGCCGCGCTGCCTCGTGGCGTCACGAGCGGAGGAGGGCGCCACGGCTTGCCGGAGGAGCTCGCCGGCGCCGCCGCCCAGCCGCTGTCGGCGCGGTGCAGGCTCCTCGCTGTCGATCTGCGAGAAGAAACCGCGCATCTCCCTCGCGGGTGTGCTCCTGCAGATGTCCGCGTTGGTGAGACGCGCCACCTCGATCCTGGTCTGCATGCCAGTTTCTCGAGCTTTGTCCAGATCCTTGGCGTACGCCTCGATGGAGGATGAGATGCCGTCGGCGCCCGCCGACCAGTTGCCGCCCACGCGCCGGTCGGGCTGCGAGCCGTCGCCGAGGACGCAAAGCGTCGAGCCGTTGCCTGCAGAGGAAGAGGCGGAGTGTTGTGTGTGTGGGGGGGGGGGGGGAGGGGGGGGGGGGTGGAGCGGAGAGCAGCGGCGCCGAGTCGGTCCGAGAGACGCCTCAGCTGCTGCAGCGACGCGTTCTGCGCCTAAGTAATAACGATCGACTCTCGTTGGTAAGTAAGCCTCAGCTGCGCCAGCGAAGCGTTCTGCGCCTCGTCCACGATGACAAACGCGGCCTCGTGCGTGCGGCCGCGCATGCCAGCGAACGACTGCGTCTCGAGCAGCCGCGCGGCGGCCAGGGCGTCTGCCGCCGTGTGGTCGGCCATCACCTTGGTGATGGCGTCGAAGAGTGGCGTCAGGAGCCGTGTCTTGGCCTCCTCCTCCTCGTCCTCGTCAGCGCGGCCAGTGGGGTCCGGGCGGCCGAGGATGACCTAGGGGACATGTCCGAGACTCTCCGCGGCGTCTCTTGGACAGCACCGTCCGGGCAGCAGAGGAGAGGACCCGGGCCACACTGCCTTTGCGCAGCCGCTGGAGCCCCTCCTGCACCGCGAACAGGGTCTTCCCCGTCCCGGCGGGCCCGTAGGCGACGATGATGTCCGCATACGACAGCTGCCGGTGATACCGTCGCTGCCCGTCGCTGTTCGGCACAAATTGCACCTGCTGGTACTCTCCCCAGGAGAAGTTGGCCGCGGGCTTCACCTGCGACCAAAACAGCAGACCTGCCGGTCAGGTGTCGGGAGGTCCCGTGCTAAAGTGCTCAGAAAGACACGCACCGGCCCGGCGTCAGGGAAGTGTCTAGGAAGTGTCTAGGAAGTGTCTGAGAAAGACACGCACCGGCCCGGCGTCAGGGAGCAGGGAGAGGGGCGAGGTGGTGGGCAGGCGACTCGCTGCGCCGCCGCCGCCGCCGCCACGACCGCTGCCACCACCGCCGCCGCCGCCGCCGCCGCCGCCGCCGCCGCTGCTATCACCGCTGCCGCCGCCGCTGCTGCGGACACCGCTTGTTGCGTTGTTTTGCCGCTGTCGCTTTGCGCACGGCGAGCCGCCCCGCTCCCACTCGTGAGCGTCGCGGCCGTCTCGCCGCGGCTGCAGCGAGGGGGGGTCCGCCTCCGCACCCCCGAGGTCCCAAGGCCTTGGGGCAGCGACCGCGAGGCGGCGGCCGGGCGAGAGCTCCTCCGCCTCTTCCCGCTGCCGCCGCCGTCCGCCGGACGCCTCTTCCCGTCGGCCCTCTCTTCCCGGCGCCTTCCGCGCCTCGGCGCCGCTGCCCGCAGCCGGAAACTTGATCTCGTGCCGCGACTCGAGCAAACGCGCCGCCGCACCCACGTCGCTCGGCGAGCCCCTCACGACTAGCTCCTGCCCCGAGGCGCCTCCGTCTCGAGTCACCTCGAGCGTGGCCGGAGCGACGCGGCGCCGCAGATCCTTGATGATGCTGCCTCCCTTCCCGATGATCTCGCCAGCCTTACCTGCGCCGAGATGTACTCGCAGCTCCACCACCGCGGGAGGCGAAGCGGCCGACGAAACCTCACCATCGTGTGATGCGTTTGCCGTCGCCGATGTCGCGGTTGAGGTCGACGCCATGCTCCGCCGCATCTGCTCCGCAAGCTCCGCTGCTTTCCTGCGCACCTGCGGTGAGGGGGCGAGGGGGAGGCAGGTGGTGAGGGGCGTGTGGTGCGTGCGTGCAGGTGGTGGCGGGCGGGTTGACCTCCGTCTCCTCGCGAAACGCCTTCTGCCGACGCTGCTCGGCCGCCTCCGCCTCCTTGGCCGCCTTGTCCGCCGCCCGCTCCCTCTCTGACGCCCGCTGCACCTCTGCCGCCCGCTCCGCCTCGGCTGCTTCTTGCTGCTCGTCCTCGTCGTCCTCGCCCTCGTCGTCAGAAGCCGGGTACCACCTCCGGGTGAAGCCGCCGCCGCCACTCGGCACAAACTCAGCGGCGTCTGGGTTAAGCGCGTTGCTGGCCGCAGCTGCCTGAGGCGGTTGCGAGCGCGCGTGACGGAAGCGGCAATTTTCGCCGTTCCGGCAATTCCCGGCGGAGAAGAACTTGCAGACGGACCGCTGCTGGTCGAGCTCCTTGTCCAAGACGGAGCGACGGGAGTCAGAATCAGCAACGCCCTCGTCCTGATTATTCGCCCAGTGCACAGATCCGGCGCGAAGAATGTCCTCGTCGCGCGTCCCCATCATCTCGAGGGCATCCGCCGCGGCTTGAGGCTCAGAGAATGTCACCCAGCTGAGACGGGTAGAGCCGCCCCGCGGGAGCGAAAGCACCACGCGTTCGACCGTGCCGTACAAGCCGAAAGCGTAACGTAGGGCCTGACAGTCGATGCTTGCTGGAAGGCCACGGCAAAATAGCACGCGGCGCGTGTCGCTCTCGCGATCGATCACACGGCGCGTGTCGCTCTCGCGATCGATCACAACAGGTCTCATGAGTACAAAAGGGGACCGGTCCTGCGAAGAGACAGTCCGGGCTTGCCAACAGAAAGAATTCGTGCGGGCATGCCATCCCGCCCTTGGGTTGTCTGTTTTCTTTCTTTCTTTTGAGTCAGAAATGTCGTCCTTGCGCGAGGAAGGCTCGATAAACTCGAGGGGCCAAAATACGCTGCGAGGAGAGCGGACTTACGCCGAGAGGCGAGAGAAGCCGCCATAGCAAGGGATCGATCGATCGGCACAGGCGGCGGCGGCGTCTCAGAACGAGGCCGAGGAGAGCGATGAGTCAGAGGATGAAAGAGGAGGAGAGAGACAGGGAGAGAGAACGACGAGAGTGGGAAGACCGCGAGGACCGAGGTGGCATGAATGAACGAAGCTCGAAGGTCGCTGCGAGAATTGAGCACTGCGCACTTGAGCACTGGATAGGGTCGATTCCGCATGGTACGGGACCCCTCGATCGTCTCGCCCTCCCTCGCGAGAATTGGCGAGAGACTGCGAAGAGAGATCGGAAGAGGTAGACGCCCAAGGGTGGGCGACGGGCCGACGGCTAGCACCACACTCCTCTCCTTTAAAATCCCTGTGTGGTGGCGGCGTGCCGTCCTCCCATCCCTCCCTTGGGTTGTCTGTTTTCTGTCTCTTCTTTTCTTTTTCTGTCCCTTCCGTTGTCTGTTGACCCCAGCCGCTGTTTGGTTTTCTGTGTGTTCTCGACGTTCGTGGTCGCGTGGGCGTGATGGAGTGGGGCAGCCTGATGGCCCTGCTGAACAAGCATCAAGCTCCTCTTGTAGCTCGATCGGTCACACCGCCATCGCCGCCGACGTCTCCCAGCGAGACTATGGAGAGGGGGGACGACACTGCTTCGGCAGCGTGCACCTCGATCCTGTACCGTGGATTCGTACCGTGTTTGTTATGGACCCCCCCAATAAACACACCAGTGAGAAAGGGCGAGACGATCGAGGGGTCCCGTACCATGCGGATTCGACCCTATCCAGTGCTCAAGTGCTCAATCAAGGCAGCCTGTGTGTGTGATTGATCTCTGTCTTTTGTGTGTGTGTGTGTGAGTGAGCACCACAGTCACAGCCACAGCCACAGCCACAGCCACCACAGCCGCAACAACAACAACAACTAAAAACTCTCTCTTCTCCACTGAAGCCAAAACAAGAAACAAATTTGCGCACGTGGCAGGAGAATTCCCGCCGCCCGAAGAAGGCACATTCCGAGTTCGCTATTTGCCGCACCCGGGACACACATGCTGCGCGCCCCCGTGCTCCAGCTGCTCATCGGGAGCGCCGCTGCCCAGGGACGCACGCGCATTTCATTGGCCAGTGTGGGAAATCTCCCCATTCCCGACCCTAACGATGCCAACTCGCACCAGCTCTGCGCTGACTGGTTCAACGACTGCTCTGTCAACCCCGACTGCGTGGGCTCTGCAACAGACAACAGGGGCTGTCCAGAGGACCTGATGCGCAAAGCCCCGCAGGATTTGCTGATGCGCTGCTACCCTGGCGTGTCGGGCTACTGCACGCATGAGTACTGCTGCAAAAACGGGGCATTCCAAGACCCGCACCTCGCCTTTGCAAACGGCGGGCGCGCCGACTTCCGTGGCCGGAACGGCATGTTCTACAACTTCTTGTCGGCGCCCGACCTCGCCGTCAACGTCAAGATTGAGGATGCAAAGTTCCTGCTGGGCAACACTATGAGCGCGGAGAAGAAGGTGACGGTCGACGGGAGCTTCATCACCGAGGTGCATATCGTGGCGCGCGTTGGCGGCGCCAAGCGCAAGTTTGCCAACATCTCGTTCTGGGCCTCAGAGCTGAACGACCAGAACTGGGGTTGGAAGACGGTCAACGGCACGTGCGGCGGCAACTTCTTCCGGATCGGCAAGAAGGCCTCCAAGCAGTGCGAGGAGCTGACGTTCGCCATGAAGTCATCCAGCGGCAACGCCACGGTTGGTGACTGGGTCGTTTGGATCAAGGGCAGCCCCGTGTACGATCGGATCTCGGGTCCTCACCATCGCCTCGATCTTGGTTTCCACTCGATCGGCGACGTGGCCGCGCGGTCCCGCCCGCACGGCCTCATCGGCCAGTCGTACTCGTCGCCGCTTCCACGCAACGGCAAAACCGACAACTACCCGGCCGAGGGCTACTTCAAGACGTCAGCCATGGCGGAGGGTGCCATTGATGGACAAGCGGAGAATTACGAGGTGACATCTGCGTATGCCACGCAGTTCACATTCTCCCGCTTTGACGAGCCGATTGAAAAGGTGCCAGTCAAGTCGCTCGCGCTGGGAGGCGACGCAGCGTCTGTGGAGCGTGTGTAGGGTTTTCAGTGGATCGTCTTCTCGCCGTTGAAGAGGTGGCGATGCGACCCCTCGCTGCAAGCCTCTTTTCGTGTCGGCTCGCTGAACTTGAAGCGCGATCCCGTCGCACCAGGCAGCTCTCTCCCCGGCTCCCGGGTGAGTCGCGTCTCTCGTCTCTCTGCGGGCGACGGTCGGGGTCAGTTTGCACTCTGGCCGTGTCTGCTGTGTCTCAAACGTCGCAGTAAGCATGTGTGCGAGTGCGCCAACACCACCCCAATGTGTTGAATAGGCGTGTGTTGAGGTACATTTGGGTAAAAATGCAGCGCTCTCCGGCGTACCTATACACGGCTCGCGAGGGACGTCTCTCGCTCATACAAACCATGCGACCCGGAGGTGCGTGCTCTTTTGTCTTTTCAGGCGCATGCGCTCGCTCGCGGCTCGCAGCTCGGCCCCGCGGCCCATAACGCTGCCTCCTGCCGACCATTGTGCGCCTTGGGCACGTGTAAATAGCGCTGTGGGCCCGAGCCTCGGCCCTCACTCGCCCTGGTACTTGTTGTCGGAGCCGCGCGCCTTGGCTCCGACCTGCTTCGCCCCCTTCTCGTACGTGCGCTTCTCCTTCTTCTTCTTGCCGGCGTCGCGCGCCTTCAGCTCGGCCGCGGCGATGGCTGCTGCGCCGCCCGCGGCGCCCGCCTTCTTCTTCTTCCCGGCGGCGGCGGCGGCGCGTGCCTTGCGGCGAGGGAGCGACGAGGGAGGCAGCGAGGTGGGCGGGGAGGGACAGGGCGGGCAAGCTGCCGACGAGAAGGGGCGAGCTGCGGGGAGTGGGGTGCAAAAAGCGCGAAGGCGCGGAGGAGGCGGCGCGGAGGCGTGGGGGCGGCGCGGAGCTCACCTTGAGCACCGCCGCCACGTCGACGCCCTTGGCCTCGCCGCCCGCGCCCTCCTCCTCCGCAGCCGGCGCCGCCTCTGCCTCGCCGGTGGCGGCGCCTGCTCCGCCGTTGGCCGCCGCCGCCGCCGCCTACGGGACACGTCGCGCGGCTCGTCACGGACCGCCGAGATCGCCTGCACGAGGCAGGGACGGGGCGGCACATCGCGCCTTCTTGGCCGCGCGCTTGGCGGCCGCCTTGGACTGGCCCGCCGCCGCCGGCTCCGCCGCAGACTGCTCCGGCGCCGCCTCGAGCTCGAGCAGCAGCGCCTGCTCAGAGCTCGGGCGGTCAAGGGACGCGCACGCCCGCCGGCTCCACCTCGCGCGGCCGCAGCGCCTCGACAGACTCCTCCTCCGCCGTCTTCTTCTTCTTGGGCCGCTCCTTGGCCGCAGCCGCAGCCGCCGCCTCCGCCTCCCTCGCCGCCGCGGCCGCCGCGGCCGCCACGGCATCCTCGGACTCGCTCTCCTCCGACTCGCTCTCCGCCTCCGACTCGCTCGCGTCCGAGTCGGTGAGCGATGGCGCGGGCGGCGCCTCCTCGTCAGACTCGTCGTCGGCCCAGTTGCGCTGCCCCACGCCCGCCTTGACCGCCTCGAACGCGGCGCGAGACTCCTCGGCCGCCTTGGCCGCCGCGGCGCGCTTCTTCTCCGCCCTCTCCTCCTTGCGCCGATTCTTCTCCCGCAGGATCTCAGCGCTGTCTTCGCCCGCGAGGCCCATCAGCGCCGCGAAGCCGTCCGCCGCCTTCTTGGCCGCCGGCTTCTCCTCTGGCTTGGGCGGTGGCGCAGAGCGCGGAGGCGGAGGCGCCGCGCCGTCGGGACGCCTCCAGCGGCCCTCTCCGTTGGTCTCGCGGTTCCCGAGCTTCGGCTTGTACACGCCCGACTTGTCGCCGCGCACGGCCGGGCGCGTCACGTCCATCGACCCGGCCGGCGCGACGTAGACGGCGGGCGGGATGCCCCACTCGTTGGACTTTGGCACGCCGAGCAGCCCCATCCCGTCCGCCTTGAACTTGAGCGGGTGCGCCACGCCGCACTCGGTGCGGAGAGTGCCGAGGACTGAGGCGGGCAGTCGCGCGGGGGCTGAGCGGCGCGGGCCAGGCAGCAGGGCAGGGCGGCGCGGGAAGGCAGGGCAGGGCGGCGCGGGCAGGGCGACGCGCAGGGGCGCTTGGCGCGGCGGGCGGCGGTGGGCGGCGGCGGCGGCCGGGCCGACGCGCGCCTCGCTCCACCTCTGACGTGTCCCAGAAGGGGCTGACGTAGACGCAGATGATGTGGCCGCCGTGCGCCATCTGCATGCCTGCGCCGCTCACCTTGGCGGAGGAGCCAAGCTTGCCCTCCCAGAGGGCGGCGACGATCTTGCGCCACATCTCGTCCACCTCCTCCGCCTCGGCCTGGATCAGCCACTTGCCCCGCCCAAAGTTGTGCGCCTTGAGCGTCGCAGTGAGCGTGGAGAGCGACTTGCTGCCCACCGCCTGCCAAGCCTTTTTCGCCTCGGCCTCGGCCTTGCTGCCGCCCTTCTCCTCCTCGGCCTCCGCACGATTGCCGCCGCCCTTCTCCTCCGCCTCGTCCTCAGCGCTGCCGCCGCCGGCCAGCGCAGACCGGCCGTCGTGGCGCGCGGCGATCCACTCCTTTCCACACGACCGCGGCGGGAAGGCGCCGGTGAATGAGTCGACGCTCTCGTTGGCCTCCGCGAAGACCCAAGTGTCGCCGTTGTCCTCGCGCGCGCCGCAGTCGACCGTGTGCCGGCCGAGCTCGCTCTCCGTGGTCATTTTTGACTTCGAAGCGAGGCAGGGCTGATGAGATTGTGGCCGTTTGGTTACGCCGCGAGCTCGCGCCACTCTGCTTCGCGGGAAGAATTTTTGCAGCGCCGTGTGCCGTCCTCCAATCCCTCCCTTGGGAGAGAGAGAGAGAGAGAGAGAGAGATGCGAAAAACTCGTCTCGCCACACGCCAAGGGCTTATGCTCTGGCGAGACGTGAGGCGCATGCGCCCAGGAGGGGAGGGGGCATGTGTAACGACACTGCTAGAGATGCCTTTCGGGGCCCAGAGATAAAACTTCTGTGATGCCATGCGTGACCTAGTAGTGTCCCCAGCTATGGGCGTGTCCACGTTGGAGCCAGGTGTGGTGTGGGCGCGAGAATAGCTCCGCCGTTCATGGAGGCAACCGATGCGAGTCGACTGGTGTGTGTCGTCGTGGTTTCGTATCAAGAATTCTCTCTCTCCCCCTCCCTTGGGTTGTCTGTTTTCTTTCTTTTCTGCTAGTTCTTTTGAGTTTGTCTGTTTTCTTCTTTCTTTCTGGTACGGGACTCCATGAACACCCCAGTGACTAGTGTGAGTGAGTGAGTATTCTTGATACGAAACCACGACGACACACACCAGTCGACTCGCATCGGTTGCCTCCATGAACGGCGGAGCTATTCTCGCGCCCACACCACACCTGGCTCCAACGTGGACACGCCCATAGCTGGGGACACTACTAGGTCACGCATGGCATCACAGAAGTTTTATCTCTGGGCCCCGAAAGGCATCTCTACTCGAGTAGCAGTGTCGTTACACATGCCCCCTCCACACACACACACACACACACACACACAGTGACTAGTTGCACCGGCCCTTCTCAGGTTCTCTCGGTTAAGTCGAGCGATGCCGCCCGCCTCTTTTCATTGTTACGACCTTCGAAGTGGCGAATCTATGCGCGTTAGCGGCGGGCACTAACAATGAAAAGAGGCGCGCTGCTTCTCTCCGTCGGGCTCCTGCACGGATCGTAGGTAGGTAAAGGTGAAGAACAGCCAGGCTCGGACTGGACACCAACGCGGTATGGGTGGACGCTGGACAGATGATGACGGATCACAAGAGAGAAACGGTTACTGGACCGTCACGTGTTCAACGACGTTGAACAGTGTTCAACCACGGCGCTGTTCACAGCGCGCGCGGACGGCCGTTCTGCGAGTCCAGCTCCGCTGGACTTTTGTAAAGCATGCTTGTGGCAAGTTATAGACGCTAGTATCGACCTCAGAGACCCAAACCCGAATTAATAATTAAGGCTCAAAGTATGGTTGAACAACCGTTGAACAAACAGGTTGAACAACGATATCCGACTAGTGCGACCGCTAGACGGCGGTCTCTGCCGGCCCCAAGGCTGCCCAGCCCCAGTACCACACCGGCCACGTAGACCGTAGCGCTGGAGTTGGTCAGTGAGGCACTATACGGGCTACGGAACCATGCGCGCGCCGGCCGGATAGGCTGCGCGCAGGGGCCGCGCCGCCTCGATTTCGCATCTCCGCTCCGCGGCCGACTGAGGGGCCAGCTCGCCCGGCGACAAGCCCAGCCATCGCCCAGCGCCCCGTATCGACGGAGGGCACGCAAAAAACCCGCACCTACGACTAGGGTGAGCCCGTGAGGGCGTCGGTGTCGGCCGCGGGCGGGCTGCGAGGAGGGCGCGGGTGGGAGCATGGGAGATGCACCACTGCTCGACGAAGACGCGCCCGACGAAGCCCTGCTTGCGGAGGATGGTCGATCCTCACCTACTAGCGTCGGGCGTGTGCGAAAAAGAGCGCAAATCGGAGCTCAACTCGCGCGCGGCTGGGAAAGGGGTGTGGCACCCCTCCGAAGGCGCCTCGCGAGGAGCTGCTGCTGCCTCCAAACGCGCTCGGGCAGCACGTCGGCGCGCCTGCGGGGTTGGGGAGGTGAAACTATGCTTGCTGGCACGCGCATCCCGCACCACCCCCACGTCCGCGCGCACCATGCCGCCATCCCACCTCACAGCCAAGCGCCATCGCCGTCGGACGCGGCGACGCCGAGCGGTGGCCTCGCAGACGACGAGCGCGATGAGGCCGCCGCGCCGCCGGAGTGGCCGGCGCGTGCCAGCCGCTGGCCCGTCCAGCGTGGCGGGACCGGCTCGCCCATCCTGGCCCGCGCGCTTGCCGACGCGAGAAGATCGCGCGAGAGGGCAAAATGTGGGCAAAACAGGAGCCTTCGCCAACTAAAAAACACAGCACACATGACGACTTAGTGTGGGGAGGGTCGGCGAGCACTCACTCACTAGGCGGCGCCGCAGGGCCGGGGCACTGGCCACGGCCTCGCCGACCACTAGAAGGCGGCCCACCCACTACGCGCACTATCTTAGTGCGCGGGGTGGGCGGGAGGCACTCACCCACTAGCCCGCTCGCCGGCGGCCCACTCACTACGCGCACTATCTTAGTGCGCAGGGTGGCGGGAGGCACTCACCCACTAGCCCGCTCGCCGGCGGCCCACTCACTACGCGCACTATCTTAGTGCGCAGGGTGGCGGGAGGCACTCACCCACTAGCCCGCTCGCCGGCGGCCCACTCACTACGCGCACTATCTTAGTGCGCGGGGTGGGCGGGAGGCACTCACCCACTGTCCGGACACAGCGAATCGATTTCACTTTTGCGAGCGAGTGTGAAGTGATGACGGATGCTCCCACCGAGTTCCTACACTCTGACACTCACTTGCAAGCGTCGGCTCCCAAGCAGCAGCCAAGATGAAGGACGCTGGAGATATTGGTACGCCGCAGCCCACATGCCCCCGACGCCCGAAGCGCCCGCCGCCATCCATTCGTGCGTTCCTCGGCCATCGCCATATTGGACCTGCACCCACACCCATGCATGCACCCATGCAGGCAAGCGGGCAGGCAAGCGCAGGGCGTGCGACAGCAACACCGCTGCGGCGTCGAGCCGTGCTCGCCAGGCTCGGGGCGATGCGTCGCGCAGCGCGCCGTCGCCATCGGCTGGTTCTGCACCACCTCCGGCCTCGGCAGCGTCCGTCCAAGAGCCAAGCACGTCCACGGCTCCTGCGATGTCACCGGCAGGGCCGAGCCAGGAGCCTGTCGAGGACTGGGGCTCCACTCGAGGTCATGTTCATAGATTCCAAAGCATTGTTAATAGCAAAGGGGGGAAAAGGTACCCTCGACCCTCACGCCTGCAACCCTCGCGCGACAGCACCAGTCGTCTGCTGTCATTGACCTAACCGGAGACACCCCACCGGCCAGCCAGCCCGGCCCGCCCGTGCAAGAAGAGGATGATGGAGCACGATTCCAACGCAACCGTGAAGCACGGGAGGCGCGGTACCACTACTGTGTGGGGGACGGAGCTTACCAATCGGGCGGCGCGTCCCGACAAACGCACCGCCTCGACACCCCCCCCGGGAATCCGCTAAGCTTGGGGTCTAGGCTCGCAGAGGTCTCAGCCTCAACATCCGCCAATGCCGAGCCGGGCGCTGGCTCTGGGGAGCAGCATGGGCAGGCCGGTCCTCGAGAGGAGGAGTAGCCTCAAGAAGCAGGGGGAACTGGGCGAGGCACAGGCGGCCTCATCGGCCGACCAGCGCGGGGATCCACCATCGGCGGGGAAATTAGTGTTGTGAGCGGGCCTGAGACAGTGACAGCGGTAACTAGTAGGAGAGATTATATGGGTCAACCTGTATGAGCGCGTTGGGCTGGCGATGGAGAAGTGAGCTTGTGCATGTCTCTACTCTTTCGCCGGCCGGAGGCACTCACTTCCGCGCACTAAGTTAGTGCGCGTAGTAGCCGAGCCGCCTCCCTCCGCCGGCGAAGGGCACCACCTTGTGATTTTTGGGTCAAAATCGTCCCGATTTCATAATGTTCGTTCGTACGTGCATCCGCGGCGCCCAGCGCGGTGCCAGCGGCTCCCATACCTCTAAGAGGCCACCCACCTCCGTATAGACCCTTATATCCGCGGTTTACGCCCAATAGAGGCAGCTGCAAGAGGGCCTGGACGGGCACTGCGGCACACACTGCTCGCTGCTCGGCCATGCGGTAGCGTCTGGTGATGCCGCCCCTGCGCGGGCGGGGGCGTCTCGCTCGGCAGCAACTGCGCCGCGCAGCGCAGGTTCGAGGGTCGCGGTGGGTGGGTGCACTGGAAGACGTAGCGGTCGAGAAAGCGCTCAGCGACCGCTACGTCTCGAGGATGGAGCCGTCGCGCGGACCCGACCGGCCGACCGGCAGTAGCAGCAGGCGCCGGAGGGCGCGGGAGGCAGCGGCGACACCTCGGGCCAGAAGCGCGAGCCCTAGGCTGGTGAGGGGGCCCGCTCATGCGTAAACGGCTCTGGGACTTAGCTAAATCGCGCATCGAAATCGGGACGATTTTGCCAGGGCACCGTCACAAGGTGCTACGAGCGGCCCGCCGGACCACTCCCCTCGCGGCCGGCCGGAGGCACTCACTTCCGCGCACTAAGTTAGTGCGCGTAGAGCGTAGTAGCCGAGCCCGCCTCCGTCCGCCGGCGAAGGGCACTACGAGCGGCCCGCCGGACCACTCCCCTCGCGGCCGGCCGGAGGCACTCACTTCCGCGCACTAAGTTAGTGCGCGTAGTGTCCCGGCCTCCGACCACGACTCCCGGGAGCACTTCACCACTTGACCCGCCTCGGCGCACCACTAGCCCTCGTCCAGCTCACAGACTAACTTGCGCCGACTTAGTTCCCCGCAGGGCCCGGGACCACTCACTCACTACATCATGTGTGCTCTTCACACGACCTGGCCAAGGCTCCTGGGCAAAATGGATTGTTTGCCCACCCTTCACGGCGACTTCACGGCGGAACGAGTCGGATCGACGACTCGCCGCCTGCACCAGCGTGTGCGCCTCGCAATTCTATACAGAATCGACACGTGGTACGTCTTCTCAATCGCTCGTGGAGAGGAGCTACGGCCATTCCTAAGTAGTGTTCAACGACGTTGAACAATGTTCAACGTCGTTGAACACGGTCCAGTAACCGGAAAGCTCTCTTGGACCACGCCTGGTGGGTAGCTGGGTATCTATGTGTCTGACACATTTTGTTTGCAGGAAACAAACAAAAAATAACTTGGTTTGTGTCCCTTCCTTCGGAATCGCTCTCGTTGCAAATCCCTGTTCACGATCGCTCTCGTTGCAAATCCCTCAGAAGTTCACGAAAAAAGAAAGCGCGAGAAAACGCCGTCGGCCGAAACAAGGTGGCTCCGGGGCGAAACCGCTCCTCCGAGCCACTCAGATCGTGACAGCCGCGATGCCCGCCGCCAACATCGCTCCGATGGACTCGCAAGCCAAGCCGCACGCCTCCTCCGAGCCTCTCACTTACTGGGGCCGCGTCCGCGACGTGGCGGCGGCATTCTTCCCGATGGGGTTTATCGCCTTCGGCGGTCCGGCGGCGCACATCGGCCTCTTTCTCAAGACGTTCGTGGAGGGGGAGCGGCCTTGGCTGGACGAGCAGCGCTTCATGGAGCTCATGTCGCTCGGGCAGGCGATGCCCGGCCCCACCTCGACGCAGATGGCCACGGCGATGGGCATCACGCGTGCGGGCGCGCTCGGTGGGCTGGTGAGCTTCTGGCTCTTTGACTGGGTCGGCTTCGCGGTGCAGCTGAGCACGGGCGCGGCGGTGTACTACCTCGACCTCGGCGCGCTCGACACCTACAAGATGGTCGTGCTCGGCGCGGGGCCGGCCGCGATCAGCCTCGTCTTTCTCGCCGCGCGCATGCTCGGCAACAAGGCCTGCGGCGACGACCCGCTCCGCATCTCGCTCGCGCTCTTCACGTGCTTCGTGGCGCTGCTGCTGCCGCGGGAGCACATGCGCTGGGCCGCCTTCGCCTTCCCCGGCGCACAGCCGAGCCCCGCCCGGACCACCACCACCACGGACCGCCACCCGCGACACGGCGCCCCCCTCGGTAGGCCTCATCCTGTTTGGAGGCCTCGTCACCGCGCTCGACGCACGGCGACCGTCGCGGCGGGCCGCGTACGAAAAGGTGCCCGCCACCTCCTCCTCGCCCTTTGACTTCTCGAGCCTCGACTCCCCCACCCGCTCCGCGCCGCAGGCGCTCTCCCCACCAACCGGCAAGGGGCTGCTCAAGCAGATCGGCATCCCGCGCCCGGCCGGCCTCCTCCTCGCCATGGTCGCTGTCGGCTTGTTTCCCTTTGCGTGGGTCGCTCGCGACCTCGCCTGCGGCGGCTTCGGCGGCGCCGGCTCGCGCCAGCTCGCGGTCTTCTCGTCTCTCTACTGGATGGGCTTCTCCATCTACGGCGGCGGGCAGGTGGCTCTGCCGGTGCTCGCGCGGAGGGGCACAGCCGTGACTGACTGACTCGCAGCCGTTGAACGGACCAGGTGGTGCTGCCCATGCTCGAGTCGGAGTTCACGCGCGGCCGCTGCGAGCCGGGCGAGACGGGCTCGTTCCCGCCGCTCGACGCAGAGACGTTTGGCTTCGGCCTTGCGCTCGCGCAGTCGCTGCCGGGGCCGCTCTTCAACCTGTCCGCCTTCCTGGGGGCCGCGGTGGCGGGCGTCGGGGGCGGCATCGTCGGGTTCCTCGGCCTGTTTGGGCCCGGTATCCTGCTCATCTACGCGCTGATGCCCTTTTGGGAGGCGCGCGCCGCGCCGGCCTCCGCCCCGCCCTCCGGGCTTGCCTCTGCCGGGCCGCTTGCACCTCTTCCCGCGCGCGTCTCTCCTCGGGGACCGTCGCTCCGGCACAGCGACGACACGCCTCACCGAGAGCCCGAGCAGGAGCGCTATGTCACCCCCCGCCCCTCCCCTTGCGCCAGTCGCTGCGACGGCATGAGTGGGTGCGCTGCGCCCTCGTGGGCATGAACGCCTCCGCCGTCGGCCTCGTCTTCCAGGCGTGTGTCACGCTCTGGGCAAAGTACTGCACGAACGGCGCCGAGGCGGCCGTCTGCATCCTGGCGATGGCGATGCACAAGCGCTTCGCGCCCGGCGATACGAAACCGCTCGCGCTGCGGCGCGCGTGGCCGGCGCTCGTCATCTTTTCTTGCGCGACGCTTTGCCTCGTCCTCTTCTTCCTCGACCTCAACGGCGCTTACGGCGACTGGTGCCACGTTGCGAAATATGGCGATTTCGCCACCCAGCCAAATCGCACGGAGGCGTGCCCCTCCGCGAGCTGAGCTGTAGCAGAGAGTAGTCCACGCCGTGGGCGCCGGGCGGACGCGGGCGTCGTCGATGGGCGCTGCAAGATAGCTCGTTCGGTCGTTTTTAGAGTAAAGTTCCAGGTTAGGTATAGCACAACCGTGCGGTGCACACAAACCGAACACTCGGCCGTTTAAGGTGTGCACTCCACACAGCAGGCACCCCACCGGCTCCCGCGCTCTAACTTACGTCATGACACCTGTGCGCTATGGGGTCCTAGAGATATGCGGTGAATGCGGTATGCGCTATACTCGCTATCTGGTCGGGCGCTCGGGCCTGTACCACCCTGGAGCCTGATTCGTCCACCTGCGCGCCGCGCCCCATCGGCGTGGCGCACACACAGTTCGCCGTGGCGCGGCGGTGGTCGGTGTGCGAGGCGGGCGCGGGCGGTTGGGCCAGGTACCAATTTTGTCGAATTTATTTCAAAATCTGCAGGCGCGGAGCGCCTGCGAAAATTTTGAAGAAATTTGCAGTCGGGCCTGATTTTCATCAAGATCTTTCAAATTTGCGGTGTGGAGTTGGGGGGTGTGGGTTAGGTTAAAGGGTTATTAGGGTTAGAGGGTTAGGGTTAGGGTTATAGGGTTAGGGTTAGGGTCAGGGTTAGTCTGGTTGTGTCTGTATATGCCAGCGTTGCAGGGTTCTGCGCTGGGATCTGGCCGCACAGCGCCGACGACTAAGACTCAGCCCCACACGCTGACCTACGGCTTTAGGGTTGGGGTTTAGGGTTAGGGTTAGGGTTAGGGTTAGTCTTCTTGCTTGTGTTTGTATGCCAGCGTTGCAGAGTTCTGCGCTGGGATCTGGCCCCAGCGCCGACGAGTAAGACTCAGCACCGCTCGCTGACCCCACCAAATGCCGCCTCAGGGCGCCAGGCCGCCAGCCACTTCTTACACGCGGCCGGCGCCCTCTCGCGGCAAAAGGGTCGAGCGAGCGGGCAGAGTCGCGATGTCTGCGCACCCGCGTGCCGATGGGCGACACACGCAACCGAGAGAGGCCCTGTCGCGCCGCCAGTAGCGTTCTCCGCACTCCCCACGCCACCAATTGCCGCCTCAGGGCGCCAGCCACCTCTTACACGCGGCCGGCGCCCTCTCGCGGCAAAAGGGTCGAGCGAGCGGGCAGAGTCGCGCGATGTCTGCGCACCCGCGTGCCGATGGGCGGCACACGCAATCGAGAGAGGCCCTGTCACGCCGCCAGTAGCGTTCCGCACTCCCCGCATCTCCCCACGCCACCAATTGCCGCCTCAGGGCGCCAGCCACCTCTTGCACGCGGCCGGCGCCCTCTCGCGGCAAAAGGGTCGAGCGAGCGGGCAGAGTCGCGATGTCCCTGCGCACCCGCGTGTTCGCCGCCTATATGCTCTATCCTGTGCCAAGACGGACACATTTTGACAATCAAAATCTACCTCAAAATTTGCGGCCGCCCCTCGAAATTTGCTGATCAAAATTTGCGGTGGCCCGGATCGAAACCTGTACTTTGGCCAAGCGGGCGGGGTGTACGTGGCCGGCGCGGAACGAACTCTTGTCGGGGCGAGGCGGGCGCGGCGGGCGAGCGCGGGGTGGGCGCGGGAGGGCGCGCGGGCGCGGCGCGCGGGGCGCGGGAGGGCGCGGGGGGCGGGGCCAGCAGGGGGCGCGGCTCGTAGGTCGTTAGCTCAATTTCCGGGGGGGGAAGAGCTAAAACACTACACACACAAAACAGTTTAAAATAAAAACAGCAGCTAAATCCTAAAACTAAAAACTCAGCATACAGCATAAGATCAGCACGTGACACACCACGCACCGGGCGGCACCGCTCTCACCTCTCAAGCGCAGGTACAGACGAGCACACACACCTCACACGCAGCTGTTTTAGCTACGAGTAAGAAACTTGAGCGGGTCGTGTTCGCCCAGCGGCAGCGCGTTTGGTTACAGCACAATCGCGCGTCTCGTATCTGACGACTAGAGGTCCTCGATTGGCGCCTCTGCCGGTCGGTCTCGCCAGCCCGAGAGGCCTGATGCGCCGACGTCCGCCAGCGTACACGGAAGCGACGGCGTCGCCATCTCCTGCCGCACGACGAGAGAGGCCGCTCCGCGCGCGAGCTCGAGCCCGGCCGCGTCGGTGGTCAGCGGCACAGAGCCGCCGTTGAGCAGCCGCGCGTGCAGCCGCAGCGCCCGCGGCGGCAACACCTCGCCGAGCAAGTCTGTGTACGCCTGCCGCAAGCCCTCGGGTGATCTCGGGTGATCTCGGGTGATCTCGGCTACTCTCGGCTACTCTCGGTGTACGCCTGCCGCAAGCCCTGCTGCAGCTCCGCGGCGCTCGCCACCCCGTCCAAGTCTGCCGCCATCTCGTGACGCGTCCCGTCCGCAGCCTCGAGCACGACGGGCGTCTCCTGCCTCTCCTCGCTCTCCGCCCCCCTCCTCGCGCCCTCGGAGGCGGGCGCGTGCGCGGGGGGCGGAGGGTGGTGCGGCAAACGCCTCTCTGGCGGGGTCCTCGCAGACCCGTCGCCATCCCTCTGCATGCACGCCACCGAGACCGAGTCCTCCGGCCCGATCTCGAGCTCGAGGAGCGCCGCCTCCGCCTCGCGCTCGGCCTGGCTCACCTGCGTTGTCGGGTGCGCAGAGAGGGGAGTCGGGCTGCGGCTCCTTGCAGCGGCACCCGTCGCCGCACAGCGGGAGACTAAACAGGGAACACCGTGGGCACCGTCGAGGTCGTGTCTTGTCGAGTGCTCGCTAGAGTGCAAGGGAGCGCATTCCGCCATCTAGGCTCGCCCGCCGACACCTCCGAGCCGCCAACCTGCGACGCCGCGCGGCCTCCTATTGCCTCGTTGAGGAAGTCATCAGTGGATGGCTCGTTGGGCGGCGCCGCGCGGATGGCCGAGCCCGCCGCCGCCGCGTCGCGCGGCCGTGTGGCGCGAGAAGAGCGAGCCGCCCTCGGAGGCGGGCTGCCCGTCGTACACGCGCGGGAAGCGGCTCGACGGCGCGTGCCTAGCACCGAGGCGTGCGTGAGTCACAGACCTGAGAGGTTGTGGCGAGAGCAGCGGCTGCGGGGCGCGTGTGCCGCAGCGGGGCGGGGAACTCGTCTTCCGCGAGCGGCGGGCTGCACGGGCTGTCCGGGCTGCCCGGAGGGGGGCTCCTAACGACCGACCCATTCACAGCTCCGGGGTTGAGCAAGTGACTCCTCGGTACACCCGGCGGGCGGCTCCTCGACGGCGACCGGTTGGCGGTGTTTGGCGTGCCTCGAGAGGTGAGGAGCGAGGTCCGGTCCTCGACCGAACCGCGGCTTCTGATGCGCGAGAAGCGGCCTACGACGGACTCGCCCCACCCCATGAGGTGGCACTGGTATCGACGCCCGGTGGCGGGTGCGCGAGAGGCGCGGGCCGTAGAGATTATGCAGCTCGGATCCAGCGATGCCGCCTCGGCCGAAGCGGCTCTTTGGCGGCGGCGTGGCTCCCCGACGTGCGTCTCTTCTCCGGCCTGGTGGGGGCATCAGTCACTAGTCAAAGCCGAGCCGTCTCGTGCGTCCCCGCCTCCGACGCGCGCCAAAGCGAGAGCTGCAGGCCGCGCACGCCTGGGGCGAGGGGCAGGGGCAGGGTGAGGGGCAAGGCAGGGGCAGAGAGGTAGGGGCAGGGTGAGGGGCAAGGCAGGGGCAGAGAGGTGTGTGAGGGTGAGGGTGAGGGTCACAGCCAGGGTGAGCGTTACAGCGAGAGTGTGTGAGTCAGCGAGGGTGATTGGTCAGGGCTGGGGATGACGGCGAGGGGTGGCGGCGAGGGGTGCGAGCGCACCGCCACCATCAGCGCGGCGAGCGACGAGCCGAGCAGCAGAGCGGCGAGGAGGCGCTCGACCAGCTCGGCGGGCAAGTCGCCGGGCAGCGCCGCCGAGAGGGCGACAGCCGCGGGCCACAGAGGCCGCTCGGGGCCGGCGGCGTCCGGCGGCGCCCCGCCCAGCGGGGGCGGTGGCGGCGCCGCCTCACCCGGAAGTCCTGAGGGCGGGCCTCGATGAGAGGGGTCTGGCGAGGGCGGCGGGGGAGAGACTGCGACGAGCGGCGGCGGCGGCGGCGGCGGCGAAGCGCGTGGACGCGACGACCGGCGAGGCCGAGGCGGCGGCGGCGGTGGAAGTGGAGGTGGCGGCGGCGGCGGCGGCGGTGGCGGCGACGAGGACGTGGGTAGGGCGGCGGCTGCGGGCGAGCTGTGGCACTGCCGACCCTTGAGCGGCTGGCAGTAGCCGCAGGAGCACTGGCAGTGCGAGTAGAACTGGCCGCATTGCTTCCACTCCACCTTATAGCGGCAGGAGCGCGCCTGCCAGTCTCCAGCCTCGCGCGGAAAAGCGACGGCCCACTCGTCGTGGCAGCCTCGCTGGCGATCGACGGCAGGAGGCTCCTGCTCCGAGGGCGCCTTGGGCAGGATGCACGAGGTCATCTCGCTGTCGCTGCACCGCACGCCAGAGTCGTACAGGTGCCGCGCGCAGCAGTCGATGCCGCCCGGCTGCTGCCAGCAGTTGACGCCGCCGCACCGATTGCACTCTGCCGGGCAGCAGACGCTGGCCAGGAGCGCCTGCGAGCCCGGTTTGTGCACGCTGCCGATGATGCCTCGGGAGCACCCAGCCATGAGGTAGCAACGCGAGAGGTCGTCCTCTGTGACGCCGGTTGAGACGGCGGGCGACACCGGTCACCAGCGAAAGAAAAAGATTTTTTTCTTCCAGACGGCGTCAGCTTCCGCCCTTCCGATCTTTGTGCAGGATTCTTTGTGGCAGGAAGAAAACGCGACGGGATTGTCTGTTTTCCGGTTTGTGTCTTTCTGAAAACAAAAGCGTTGACACCCACCGCCTCGTACGGCTGTACTCTAGTCCAGCCTCTTCCGCGGCGCGGGCGGGCCGGAGCTCTTCCTCGCCGTCACCGTCGGCCCGCGATGCGTCGGCCGAAACTGCTCGACCGGCCCGAGGCCCACAAGCTCCCGCTTGAGTTTGTGCTTTGCGTCATCATCGCTGGCCGCGGCGGACCGCTTCTTCCCCTTCCTCGGCGCAGCCTCACTCGCCTCCACCTTCGGCTCCACCTTCACCGTCGGCTCCGCCTTCACAGCTCCCTCCGCCTGCTTCTTCGGTGAGTTTGCGAGCTCGAGGATCGCCGCCGTGTCCTCGCCCGCAGCAAAGCCGCTGCGCGTCAGGTGCCACACCTGGAGGTTGCCCTTTGGGTAGGGCAAAGGGCGGGCGCACGCGCGAGCCGCGTCTGCACGCCAGGCAACCGGCTTGGAGCAGTCGTAGTTCGCTAAAAAGGCGTCCGCCTTGGCCGCCGCCGCAGCCGCGACGTTCCCATCGACCATGTGCACCACGCCGAGCAGGCAGCGCTGCTGCGCTCTCAGATCCGAATCGCTCGGGCAGCCGGGCCACGCCTCGCGGATTCGTGCCATGGTGGCGGCGTTCTTGAGGTGCTCGTCGTTCTGGCCGCAGTGCACCGCGACCCACTCCCCGCCGTCTGGAAAGGCGGTGGCCTTGCCGCGCCGCGTGTATAGCCCCTCGCCGGCAGCCATCGCCGCGGCATACGGCTGCTGCATCGTGATACAACGGAGGCCGATGCGGTCCATCGCTCGCGCGGAGCTGAAGCTGCGCGCCGAGAAACATTTTTTTCTGCTTTAGTGTATGTCTCTTTTACTGTGGATCCGGATTTTCTTCTTTTCCGAATGCAAATGCCGTCGAACCTCGCCCGTCGGCTCGCGTCGCCGCTCGCGATGCGTGCCGAGAGCCTGTCTACGGCTCGGGTGCATGACTTCGTCCAGGAGGACCTATCTGCAGCGCTAGACTGGAGCGCGAAGCAGGGGCGCATCCTGACGGGCGGTGGGGTCGCCGAGTCGCTCTACACCGCTGCCCGTGGATACGCGTTTGAGCAGGCGCAGCTCCCGCACCACCACTTGGAGGCGGGATCGACGCACGACACGTTCCGTGCCTGGCGATGGGGCCCGCCGCGAGACGCGAGCGGCGGCGGCGGCGGGCCGGCGCTCCCGTGGCTGACTGGCGGCTGGTCACGGCCGCTCTTCGCGGGCGGCGGCGAGGAGTCATCGGACGCGAGCGAGGCGTGCGTCAACCTGGTGACGCCCTCCCTCTTTGTCGACATCCGCATCCCCATCGCGCGCAACGCCCTGCTCGATGCGCTTGGCGCGAGCGAGTGGGACACTGGCCGAGGCTGAGGAGCCGACGCTTCCGAGACCGTTTCCGGGCATGTCTGGTAGGTGAGAGGGAGGAGGAGCGGCTGAGGCTGCTGGCCCGGCAGCACGGCTTTGCTGGGTACGCGCGGCTGGCCGAGGTGTTCTCTCTCTCTCTCTCTCTCTCCCCCCCCCCCCTCTCTCTCTCTCTCTCTCTCTCTCTCTCTCTCCTCCCTCTCCTCCCTCCTCCCTTCCCAGCACCATGCACAGGGACATATACCGCTAGGTGCAAGGCGCGTTCGGCCCGGGCGGTGCCGCCGTCGCAGCCGTCGCGTGCACGCGCCACCACGCGGTCGACTGGAACTTTCTCGGCGCAGGACGGCCGCGGCCAAACCGTTGGACGGTCACGCCCCTCGGCGGCAACGGCGGCGACAACGGCGGCGACAACGGCGGCGACAACGGCGGTGACAACGGCGGCGACAACGGCGGCGGCGGCGGCGGCGGCGGCGGCGGCGCGGGGCAGCTCGGCGGCGCTGCGGAGGGCGTGGAGGAGTGGCGCGAGGACTCGTTTGCGCGCGACGGCGCCGGAGGCCCGTACTACCACGAGGTCTGGCGGCGCCTTCCCCGTCCCGCCTCGGCCGACCCACCCTGCGTGCTCGCGATGCGCTCGCTGCCGTCGGACGGCGGTGACGGCGGCGCCGCTTCCGCCGCCAGCGCGGCGCGCGACCTGATTGTGGTCGCTTGCGGCGGCCGCTTCGCATACGCGAGCCGTGCTGTCGGAGAGGCGGCGGACGCGATGCGATCGAGGGTTGCGGCGGCGTGGAGGGAGGCGTGCTTGGGGCAGGACACCCCGTGCAGCAGCCGCGCTGCGGCGGTAGATGCCGCCGTCGGCCAGGGCGACCTCGAGCTCGCCCACTGGCGCGCGCGGCCGAGGGCAGACGGGACACGTCCACGACGTGTCCACGACGTGTCCACGACGCGTCCACGGCGTCTCTCCGTAGGCTAGTGCACGAGGAGGTTCAGGCGGGCCACGGGCACGCGGGCAGCGCGGGCGGCGCGGGCGGCGCGGGCGAGCTGCTCGAGGCGGCGGAGGGGTGGACGATCCTCGCGTCGGTGCAGCCCGCCGACGAGGGCAGGACGCTCGGCGACATGATTCGCCGCGCCGGCAGCGGCGGCACCGACAGCGGTGGGGGCGGCGGTGGCGATAGTGGCGACGGGCCTTTGCGCGGGGCGGAGACGTGTGCGCTCCCGCGCGGCGCCAGCCGTCTCGAGGCGCCTCAGGCGGTGCGCGTGGGTAGCACGCGGTTCGAGCTCTTTGAAATCGCGGTGTGAGGCTGCCCTCAGGCTTCCAGCCGAACGAACACCGAGAAACACAGAAAAAGAATTTGATCCTCCTAAAGAGAAGCGCGGCCGTGTCAGGGCTCCGCTGCGGCTACTCCAACGAGCCGAGCTGCACCGCCCACAGGTTTTCACGATGCTCTCCATCTTCGCACCCGCGCTACTCTCCTGGCGTGCCGTGCCAGCCGTACCACACCGAGCACTGCCTGCCGCGGCTCCGCGCGCTGCAGTCGCCGCTGCGAGCACGGCCGAGGACCTGAAGGCCCGCACGACAAGCTCGCAGCTGCACAGCCTCTCAGCGTCCCCTGAGCCTTCTCGGGTCCTTCCCAATAGGCCCGGCTCGTGACCTCGTGCGAGGCTTTCAAAGCCGCGCAGGAGGAGCAGTGGGCCGCTGACGCGGCGGCCGGTGCTGAGGGGCCAACCTCGCCGCTGCAAGCCGAGGAGATTGCCAACATCGACGTCTCTGCCAGCAGCGTGGCGCTCGCCGCGCTCCGCAACGCCACCGTCGACCTGATCGAGGAGCTGGCGGAGTCCAACCCGACAGCCGCGCCTTTTGACGGATGGCGCACGCCTGGTGGCGAGAGCCCGCTCACTGGCCGGTGGAAGCTGCTCTTCACGACGGGCGCCGACGCCACTTTTCGCCCGTCCAAGGACAAGGGCAGTGCGACGACCTACCAGGAGATTGACGGCGAGAAGGGCTACTTTGTGAATTGCGTTGACTTTGACGCGCCCGACAGCAAGCTGCGCGGTTTCCGCGTGGTCGTCAAGGGCAAGGCGCTCTCGGACAACGAGGTGCAGCTCTACTTTCGCCGCGTCAAGCTGCTGCGCCGCTCGCGCTGGCTGCGCGCGCTCGTCCTCCCGCTGCCGCCGAGCTGGCTGCTGCGCGCCCTCGCGCGCCGCGCCTCCCGCGGCAAGGCCGAGCTCTCCGATCGCGGCGCGGGCTTCACCATGTTGTACCTCGACGACACGCTGCGCTGCCACCTGACCTTCGACGGCCAGTATTTCGTGCAGCAGCGCATCTGACGTAAATGAATAAAACGGACACATCAAAAGAAACAGAGCCCCATCGAGCGGCCATTGGAGCGCTTTATTTTTACAGCCCCGCCGCCACGGCGTGACACTCTCTCTCCTCACCTGGTGTACCGAAAGTGGTGATGGAAGTCGCGTGCCCACCCCTCGTGGTACCACTCGCCCTGCGACTCCTCCGGCCGCCACGACGGAGGCAAGTTGCGCCGCGCCGCCCGCCCCGGCTCTGTGCGCCAGCCGTGCGGCACCGGCCTCTCCCCTGCGATGAAGCCGAAGAGGGCGAGCCGCTCGCCCGCGAGCACCGCCGTCACCTCGTGCGGCACAGCGACCGCATCGAAGACGACGAGGGTGCCGCCGCGCGGGCTCACCGCCACCGTCCGCTGCCTCGGGTGCCCGCTCGCGATGGTGCTGCTCCAGCCGTCGCGCCAGCGCGGCTCGAGCATCTCGCGCAGCGAAGGCACCCGCTCGTGCGCGGCGGGTCGCTCCCACACCGGCGAGACGTTCTCGCGCGACCCGTCCGGGCCGGCGCAATACAGCTGGTACGCGGGCTGGACCTGCCCGCGCAAGGACGCCCAGAGGGAGGCCTCGTCCGAGAAGTGCGCCGCCGCCTCGCGCGCCAGCTCCTGCAGCGAGCGGCCCCGCATCTCGTGCGGCACCGCCCACCCGTCCAGAAAGACGGGCTCCGAGCCGCGCCCTCGCTCGAGCCAGCCCACCTGCAGGTGCTCTGCACGCGTGGACGCCGCGCTACTACCACCCACTACTGCTACAGCTACAACTGCTACTCCTAGTCCTACTCCTATAGCCCACTTGCAGGTCTCCGCACGCGTGGACGCCGCACTCGCCGACGGCGTCGTCCCGGGGGTAAGTGAGCAGAGTGCCGCCGCTGCCGCTGCCGCCGGGCTCGTCCCAACCGTCGTCGCTCAGGTAGAGCAGCCAGCCGAGGCTGCGCCTACGGGACGACACGTCCCGCACACGTCCCGCAAGCGGTCAGGACGACGCGTCCCGCTCGAGAGCAGCCAGCGTGCGCCGGGTCGCGTCTCCGTGGTGCTCCTCGTGCGACTGCAGCGCCTCGTGCCGCTGGTCGACGTGGAAGGCTAGCGGCTCCCCCTCGCACGCGATGGCGTACTTTGCCTGCGCCCCGTGCTCCTCCAGGGACAGGCGGCGGCCCAACACCCTCTCGAGCTCGACCAACAACGTGTCAAAGAGCCGCCTCGCCACAGCGCGCGCCTCGCTCGGTGCCTCCTCACCGGGCGCGCACCAGTCCCTCTCCGCCAAGCTCAGCTTGACCCGCTTTCCGAGCTTCTCATTTGCATCGACAAACGAGCCGGCGTCGCGCAAGGCTCTCGCATCCGCTCGCAGCGCTGTCAGCAGTTCGTCGCTCAGCCAATTCGGAGCCACGAATGGTCGGCCGTTTGCGATGCAGGAATAGTCGTGAGCGTAGACGCAGGCTTCGAGCTCAGCGGTCGAGGCTTCCTGCAGCTGCGCAGTCGACCGAGCAGTGGGAGTGACCACCCCAGTGTAGTCAGCAGGAGGTAGTACGGTGGCCGGAGCTGCCATCGTGTAGTCTGCGGGAGGTAGGACGGAAGCCCGAGGTGCAGCGAGCGCTGAGCGCGTTCCACGGAGTGCGGCGATCGGAAGCAACATCGGCCACATCGAAGGGAAGCGAAGTCGGGCCGAACTGCATGAATGCTTGGGCAAGTGTGAACAACACCTCGTGACCACGGCGCCGCAGGCGCCTGTTGATCTACGTCGTGAGTCCGCTGCTAGGGGAAACCTGGAGCGCGGACTAACCCTCGGAGACCCGTGTTTACTTTAAGGCCCTTTCCCTGCGAACGCGCACCCCCGGGGCTAGGGCTCTCTTGCCCGCAACCCGATCCCGATCATCCGGCCCGCTCTCCCCGGCCCCTGATACGGCTAGCACCCTCTTTAAATCCCTCACGCCGTCCTCCCGTCCTCCCTTCTTTTGGGTTGCGTGCGTTTCTTTCTTTCTTTTTCACGATCGTTTCATTCGCATCGCACCGCCGGGCGCGAAAGGCCCCCTCCCGTCGCGCGCGAAAGAGGCAGACTCTGCATTGGCACACTCAGTCCTGTCCCCACCCGCAATGGACGACTTCTTCAAGCCGACGAGCGCGCAGTACCACTTCGACGGCCCGGGCTCGCGCGAGCCATTGGATCGGGCGGTGGCTGAAAGCAAGCCAGCATGGTGGGCACTGGCACAGCTGCTGCCCTGCGCAGCCGAGGCGCAGGGAGCGGCCGCCGGCCACGACAGAATCTTCCGCGACGAGGCCGCCTTCAAGCTGATGGAGAACTTTGAGGCAGTGCTTCGCGATGTGTGCAATCCCTCTCCCACGCACAACATCATTGGCAGCCCGCTAAAGCAGCCTGAGCTCAGGCGCTGCCCCATGGTAGCGGCGGGCTACGCCTCCCAGTGCCTCCGGGAGGTGTGCCGAAGGCTGCTTGGGAATAAACCGGGGGCCGAGGAGATTAGGGAAGGCCTGAGCGGCGACCCCGACCAGGTCGTGGCGTGGATTGCGACCTGCTCATACCTCATGTGCCGCATCCAGGACCATCGCGATCACATGCCCGGCCGGAATCCGGACATGGCGTACGGCGCGGCGTTTGCAGCCCGGGCGGTGCTGCAGGAGGTTATCCACCACGCGCTGGGGCTGTGCTAGTGACGGCAGCAGGGAGGCGGACGCTCGACGAGGAGGCCCGCCTCGCTGCCGTCATTGCGCCGGGTTGGCCATCGTGCAACCAACAGCTCGGGTGGTCAATAATTCGGCACTTTTTAGGCTCGTAGTGTTTGCGTGGGCGCTGCTCCGCGGTTTCTTGCGTTCGAGAGGGACCAACGCGACGTGTGCATATTTGTGAGCGTGCAGGCGGTCGTTTTCTGTTATTGATATAGGCAGCAGGCAGTACGCCGGAGCGGGGTTCTTTTTAACCTGTGCCATCTGTGGTAAAGAAAGCAAGAAAGAAAGAAAGAAAGAAAACAGACAACCCAAAGTGGGAGGAGGACACGGTCCCCACCTCTGCACGAGCAGGATTTTGGAACGAAGGGGCGATTAGGGGGACAGGGCATGGGACAGGGGAACGGGAGTGGGGAGCGCACCGGTTGCGCTCTCCTAGTTCGGCTCCTGCTCCTGACAAGGGACAGAGACAGGCTCGCAGCGCGGTGCTCGGTGGACTCCCAACTCCACTGGCGGTCTCATCTCAGTCTAGCGACCTGCCTCCAGCTTTTCACTGGCAGTCTCTCACTACCACAGGCACACTGACAGGGGCGGCCGAGGCACACACGCCGAGGGTGGCAGGGGCGGTGGCAGGAGTATCCCACAGACTCTGTGGGCTTCGCTAGAGGTGCGTCCTGTGTGTGTGTCCTCTCGCCCTTGTGGGGGAAAGGCGAAGGGGCCTGAGGGAGGGTGTAGAGGATGTAGAGTGTAGAGAGCTGTAGAGCTGTAGAGCTGTAGAGCGCTGTAGAGCTCTAGAGCTCTACATCCGGCGCGGGACAGAGCGATGCAGATGTAGAGCACTGTAGAGCGCGATTTTGCTGTACCTTCTCTAGAACAAGTTATTTAGGAGCACCCCCCTACCGCCGCCCAGTACGTGCTCCGCAGCTGAGCCCACGCACCCCACAGCAGCTCAGGGACACAATGAGCTCGCATACGAGTGCTGGTACGCACAGCTCGACGCGTACTCGAATGCTGCCACTGTCATTCTAGCCGGCGAGCGGCGGCGTCACAGCGTCGACTCTCGCATCGCGATGAGACGCACTGCTTGCCCAGACGCGCGCCTTGGCGCGCTCCTGTGGTGCAGGGGGAAGGCCAGCGGTCGTGCTGCGCAGGCCCGGCCGTCTGGATGAAGGGAGCAGCAGCTGGCGCTCAACAGCAGCGCTGGCGAGCAGCGCAGCCACACCACACTCCCGCCAAGCCACGTGTCATTTCCCGCCAAGATTTGGCGCCAAAATGGCACTTTAGTGTCCACCTAGCCACGTGGTTTCGGCCTGAAGCTCCAAGCTTCTGGGAGTGAGGTCCCACATCACAGGGCTCCATTTGGCTCAGTTGGAGGCACCGTCCAATCGTTCGCCGATGTCCGGAACCGGGGTGCTCCTAAATAACTTGTTCTAGAGAAGGTAGAGTTTGTTGTAGAGGCTCTACAGCCAAACCGCCGGGAAGGCAGTGACTCAAAGAGGTCGAGCCGCGCTAATGGGGTGTCTCCGAGCTTACTGGAGCTCTGATGGACAGCCCTGACTATCCCTGACACACAGAGAGTCACTCTGACAGCACACAACACCCTATAACTGCGTCATGACCAGCCTGCCACGCGTCGCCGGTGCCGCATTCGTCGCAGTGCTTCTGTAGCAGGCGGTGGACTGTCAGCTGCGAGGACGGTCGCATTTGCGCGAGGCGAGGCGAGCATTGCTGCGCGTTGCATGCGCCATGCCTCGCGCCAGCGCGTGCGGGAGCTCCTGGCTGAGCGTTGAGTCCAAGCGAGTTGCGCTGGCCACGATCGCTACGCCGAGCCGAGCTGACGCGCCGAGGCGCCGGCCAGTCGCAGCTGTGAGGCATGCCACAGCAGCAGAGGCACCTGCCACCCATTGGGCGGGCAGACAGAAGGCCAGGGCAGCACTGGCAAGTGCAACGCGCCTAATGTCGGAGAGCGACCGTGCCTCGTTCGCCGCTTATGATGTAGAGTTTGTCGTAGAGATTTCACGTTGTAGAGCGCCTCTACATCGCTCTACATCTGCATCGCTCTGTCCCGCGCCGGATGTAGAGCTCTACAGCTCTACAGCGCTCTCCAGCGCTCTACATCTCTACAGCTCTACAGCGCTCTACACTCTACATCCTCTACACCCTCCCTCAGTCAGGAAGGGGCTGTGTGTCTGTGCATGCACATGTGTGTGTGTGTGTGTGTGTGTGTGTGTGTGTGTGTGTGTGTGTGTGTGTGTGTGCGTGTGTGTGCGTGTGTGTGCGTGTGTGCGATGTGCGAGCCGCACAGTTGACCACGATCCCGTGAGAGTCGTGAGCCAGCTCTACGAGTGACGAGTGGGAGTCTCGGACTCGGTGACCTTGAAACTCGGTGTGCCGTGTGGGGTGTCGCTCTAACACGACACGGGGACACCCCAGGTTACGTGTGTGCAAAAAAACATGGAAGCTGGAGTTGAGACGGACAAAAAGACACGATCTATGAAGACACGGTAGCGCGAGTGTGTGGGGTGGGCAGCGCGCGGCGCGCGCGCGAGGGGGGGGGGGGGGGGGGGGGCTCTCCGTGCGAGGGGTCCGAACTCAGTGAAGCCTTGGCGCAGCCAGGCGTCGCCGGGCTACCAAAGCCGCGACCGCTGGGAGGGCGGCGCCCCCTGCGAGGACAGGCAGCCACAAGAGGCCAGCCTAGTGATGCAAGGAAAAGTGATTGAGCGCTAGCAGAAATACTCTTTCACAACCTACATAGGGGTGGCCCGCCTGCGACCTGTCGGTCAACTTCTTGCCCAGTGGCTCGGCGCGAGAGAAGAAGAAGGAGGGCAGGAAGGAAGTGATGTGCCATAGAGGGTCGAACAGAGGTAGCAGTGGGTCAATCCAACCTTTCTCCTCCTCGTCGAGAGGCGCCACGTCGCGGCCGGCGGCGCACTCGAACTGGGACGGGTTGTTCTGGCACTGGATGCAGGAACCAGAGCACGCGAGGCAGATCTGCGTCCACGACCCGCATTCACCCCCTCCCGGCTCGGGAAGATCGCCGCACCACTTGGCACTGCAGCTGGCGCAGCTGCCGGCGGAGCTCGAGCACCATGAAGAGGCAAAGGAGGTGCACAAAGAGCTGGAGCTACATACATCGTCTGTGTTTGGCCACTGGCAGCAAAAGGGGACCCTCTGGCCATTTTCGGGATGCGGCGGCGGCGGCGGCGGCGGCGGCGGCTTTGGCGACGGGGGCGGTGGCGGATATGGCGGCGGCGAGTTAGGCGGCGGAGGCGTCGGAGGCGGCGGCGGTGGCGGTGATGGCGACGGCGGCGGGCGGGGCG